TACTCAAACATAGTTTTTTTAAGGTGGAGACATTTGTTGTTGAGTGCTGACCTCTACACTCATGCAAACATGAATCTATACGCACAGCAACAAAGGAGAATGCGAACAGGGGACCCTTCTCTTTAAGCAAAAGAAGGAAAACTGTATACAAGCTCCTGTGAGGAATTTTGAGTTACTGTATTCAACCCTAATGGGCTGGGCAGCTTGTTGCTTTGTAAAGACAGAAAAAAAAAGTAGGCGTGACCATAAAGGTTCAGTGCCTTAGACTTAACACGGGGTGGCGGTACAGGGGTGGTGGGGTGAGGATGGGGGCGGCGGGGTGGGGATGGGATGGTGGTGATGGGGGATGGTGCAGGGGTGGTGGGGCGGGGGTGGGGGTGAAGCCATCAAGCAAGCTGCCACGCTTCCCTCCGTCCCTCAGAATTGCTCACAGACCAATAGGAAGTGGTTGGCAGCCATTCTGTGCCAGGCACAGTGGAGTAAAACTATCAACAAATAGTTGAATGAATTAATGACTGAATGAAAAAAAAAAAAAATGGAATCGGACAAAATGTACCATCTAGGACCCAGCCTTGATTGAAAATGGAAATGCCGACAAAGCGTCATGTAAACTGGAGGGTTGCTAGGGCGTAGAACAGCCATCCCTCTTGCTCCTTCACATTGTGGGCATGTTGATAGGACGTGGAGGCAGAGACAACAGTCTCAGACTTGAAGTATCTACTCCAGAGGCAGGAGACTCCTGCTTTTCCCCTCTTCATCCTGGCCACTCCTTGTAGCAAAATACAATTTTTTGGAGTTTCCTCATCCGTGATGGCAGCTGCCGTGGGGTTACACGTTTGTTGGTGTAATGAGTGCGTAAGATGGAGGAGCAGTATCACTGAAGGCTCTTAGTCTGCTATGGCATATCCGTTGTGCTTGTTGGAAAATTCTGGGCCTCCGCCAAATACTCCATCCAAATGAGTTTCCTCCGAGTGAGAGTTTCTAGGAAGGGAGGGTTTTCTCTGAAGACCAGTGGCTGCTCCATTTCGAAGGGAATGCTGATGACCCAGGGGCTGATGGCTTTCCCCGGGAGCATAGCAGAAGCTTTGTGGATTTCCCATAACAGGCTTATGGAGACTGATTCACCTCACTTAAGCCTCTAAGAGACCCGTAAGGCATGGTCTGCCTAAGACTAGAGTCCGCATCCCTTGCCCTGGGCTGCTCCTTCTGCTAAATCTGTAATCAGAAAAGGATTCACTGATTATGAGCAACTGGTTTTGAGGTATCTTTCACAAGGCTGTGGCATGGTCTTACGGCTGCCCTGCTATAATCTGTCACTCTGGTGACAGAACATTTTGCAATTTCCCCCATGAAATGATACTGGATAAAAACTGCCGTGTGTGTGTGTGTGTGTGTGTGTGTGTGTGTGTGTGTGTGTGCGCGCGCCCGTGTGAAAGCCTTCCTGCTCATGAGTGCACCTGAAGGGCCCTTCTACATCCTGCTCTGTCACTGTCTGCCTCAGTGCTTTTGAGGACAGCTCTTGTTGGCTTTCTAGTCATCACCTCATTTCTCTTCTTAGTTGCTCTGTGTCCTTTCCGCATAGTTTATGATCACCACGGAGTATTTAAGATCAGTTCGTTCCCAGACTCTACAAGGAGACCCAAGGCTTTTACCCACTCTGTGCTCAGACTCCCTGGAGGAATCGCAGCCTGATAGTCATCAGAACTAACAGCTCCCTCTGGCATCGGTAGCTTGAAAACAGAACAAAACAAAAAACCACTCCGGCTGTCCTCTCTGTCTTTGCCCCTTATGAAGAAGCCACGATCCGGCTCCTGGGAGTCAGAGCTGGCCTCTGCCACATTCAGAGCACAGTGCTGAATGAATCCAAGAAATCCCAGCTGTCGGAGTCTCTAAGTTTTTAGAAAGTCACTCTCCTCAACTGTGAGCTCTCCAGCCTTGCCTCCAGGTGTGATAGTGCCACATACTGTTTTAAAGCTTGTTTTTAAACTTTCACAAGTAACAGGTAAGTGTTCTCATAAGAAAGGAATGCAGTGATAATTGGCACGAATTAAAACAATATTACATGTTAAATTTTATCTGCCATGAAATAGGCATAGGTTTAGAAATGAAAAATAACTCATGGTTAACAGTTTTAGCTTTATTATATAGTTATTAATTGATTAATTATTGGGTTGGTGGCATCTGTTTTTATAAAATTTTTGTATCTGAAATTTCCATTCTAATAATGCTTTTTGAACATGTAAGGAAGTGGGAGGGAAGTCTAAAAGACATGTTTTTTTCCCTAAAACTAGAAACAGATTAATAGAAATTTTTAACAGTGAGAAACAGAAGAATGTTATTGTGCAATGATTAAGTTTTTTGGTCTCTTCTTGTTTATTTTTGTCTTGGTAAAAAAAAAAAAACAAAAAAACTTTATAGCGTGTATGTGTGTGTGCGTATCACAGTGTGCCTGTGTGGGTCAGAGGACAACTCTCAGGAGTGAATTCTCTTCTTCTGTGATGTGAAACCCGGAGACTGAATTTGAGTGGTCATACTTGGCCTCACATGTCTTTGCCCACTAAGCCATCTTGCTGGTCCACATTATAAAATTTTAAAGACGTATTTATTCTTCAATGAAAAATTAAAATTTCCCCTTGATGTTTTATACTCATTTATATCCAAGTGGCTACATGGTAAGTAGAATTCTCTAGAGTAACATTAGCTATTAACTATCGCTCTTCTGCAACCAGCAGTCCAGTCTTTCATTGATGACATTTTCATTCTTCTTACTTTTTTCCCAGTCTTGTGAATTGAGCTTTTATGTAGTTTAAACTCTCCTTAAACTTGCTATGACGAGTAGGATGGTGTTGAATTCACAATTGATCTCAGGCCTCAGCCTCCTGAGTGCTGGGATTACAAACATGCTTCACCACTCCTGGCCCTTTTTATTCCTGTAGATCTGAGCTCTCATTCTGCTTTATTCCTTTAGGTATTTTCATTTAGGAGGCATTTTTGTTGGCTTATCCACAAGAGACTTTTATTCCTGTAGCTTTCTCCAGAAATTTGTTTCATTTGTTTTCTTTAGAAACCTCCCCCAAACACACACACACACACACACACACACACACACACACACACACACACCACAATGTGTCACAGGGAAATGTATCATCATTTATTTCGTCCTGGAAGGAATTACATTTTTACATTTGCCTCACCTTTAGGTTCTCCTGGCCCAGAGCTAGCATTCATTTTACTCCTTATTAACAGCTCATGTTACATAAGCAGTACTGAATGTTTGATATGCAGCAGGCTCTGCATTTAATAGGCTTCATTCTCACAAAGATGCCAGAGTGAGGGCATTCATGCAGCTCTGTGGGTGAGGCTTAGAAAGGTTCAGTGGGTGTTCAGAGAGGGCATCCATCCTAGCATAGAGTCTGACCTGACACGAGTCTAGGAAAGTGACCAACTTGTTGGGAATAAGGATGTGGCAAAATAACTGCTGTTATAGCACAGCCACCACAGAAACTTGGAATAGCAGATGGGTGTGCATTTCTCACATAGCAAACAATTGATTCTGTAGCACTGATGCCAGATGTGTGTCCTCTCATCCGATTCAGCTCTGATACCATATTCCCAGATGTTACATCAGCCTCCCCGCCCCCTAGTTGGAGGCACAAACCCCAAGACTGTCTCCCAGAAAATGAAGCTGTGAATTCCAAGCCTTGGTTTTTATTCGTGTGTTTGACCAACTGACTATAAATCATTATTGTTACAACTTTCTCTTTGAGTTTGGCAAATTTGCCTGAACAGCTCACCAAACTCAGAGAATCAGGCTTGTTGGGTTATTATAAAAGGATATTAGGAAACATAGAGTTAAAGAGATGCATAGTAAGTGTGGAGTAGAGGTAGAGGGAGCTCTCACAACCCTCCAGGTGTTTCTACATGTTCATCTGTTGGGGAGCTCCTGGAGATGTGTCCTTTGTTTTTGGTCCCCCCACCTACCCACCCATTGTATAAGCTTAATTCCTAGTAGGTTAGGTGGAAAACCCCAGCAAGTCCTCTAAAAGATGGAGTGGGCTCTCTCTGCAATGACAAGAGTTTTATGACTCTTGATCCTACAGGAGAACAGGTAGGTCAGAGTGTTCATGTATGTCCAGTAGCAAGATAGAAAGGCAGGAGAAGCTGGTATGGTGACTTATGCCCCGAATCCTAGCACTTATGGTGGCTGGGACAGGAAGATTGCTGCTGTGAGTTCAAGGTCAGCCTTGGCCACATAAAGCTCTTGGCTAACCTTAGTTACAGTGTGAAACTCTGTCTCAACAGAGAAAGCAAGAAATAGATGAAAGGAGGGGTAAGAAAGGGAGGGAGAGTAGAAGAGAAAAAAAGAAAAGATAGAAGTGAGAAAGGGGGGGAGAATTAGAATTTCTGTTAGAATTTCTATGGCTCATCTCCAGAAAGAGAAATTTTAGTTTTTGTGGCCTGCCTTAGGGGAAGGAGTTATAAGGCAAGAATCAGGTTCAAAACCAAAATAATCGTGTATCAGAATTTCATAATGGAAAAGGGCCCTGGTAGACAAACACAGTTTGGAGGCATGAAATGAGAATGGTATTTCTGGGAAACTATGGGTTATTCCATTTGTCCCAGTGCTCAGTAACTGAGGCAAAGGCTAGAAACTGGTCTTGGATCTGTACAGATTCATAGTACCTTCAGACTCTCTCAGTCCCGTTCTCGGTAGTGGTTTGCTTTGGGTGTTGCAGAGTGCAGTGCACTAAGGACAAAAGAGAAACCTGTTGCCGGTACACGTCTTTAAAATGGGGGTTGAGTGGATGTACTAGAAATGATCTGTGTTGTGACAGCCAGCCATTGTGACAGGATGGCATGGATGGGATGGAATGGGATGGAAATAAAACGCTCCTTCCTGCCTAACTGCTTAGAACCTGTCACTGGAGTAATGTTAAAGAGACAAGAAGCAGCCTCTAACTGACTGATGATATTTTTAACTCTTTCTCCAGCCTCTGGGTGTGAATTCTGGAACAATGTGGACCTTGGCACTGTGGGTGTTCTCTCTACTCTACAAATTCAGCCTGGCAGGTAGGTTAGCTTTTTATAGAGCATGTAGTTTGTATGTTTTTGGACAAGAATTTTTAACTTTGGAACAAAGGGATTCTGAATATGCACAGATGAACAACAAAAGAATCTGTGACATTTTGAATGTGTGTGTGTCTGCGTGTGCATGTGTGTGTGTGTGTGTGTACATGTATGTGTGCCCTTACATGGGCACAAGTTTGAATGTGTGTGCCAACAATAGAAAGTGAATACTCTAAAATGTGTAAATTTGGAGAGATGATGTGTCACATTCTTAAAGGCAGGGATGATCTCCTAAAGGTGAAGAGCATTCAGACATGTTCAACACGTGATCCACAGGCTACATGCATTCCAGGACAGCTCTGAATGTGACTCAGTACATTTCTAGATCACAGCATCACACCACCATGTCAAAGGGGTGGACAGCCCGAGGATATCTATAAGTACAGTCTGACATAAAATTGTAAACTTGCTGTGTGAGATAGCTTTTGAATTTTTTTTTTTTTTGTAACTCAATTGTGTGGTTCTCAAGAGTGAAACGTGTAGATGACAGTTTCTTGTTCCAATGTCAAAGGTGTGTTTTGTTCACACCTAAGCCATGCCAACCTAAGAGCAATTTATTTTATTACAACCTATGTGTTTTTTAAAAAATTAAGATTGAAAATAATCACAGTGGGCTGAATATTGAAAAGCAGGGATTTAATCATTTTCCCTTGGGTCCTTCTTGTTACTTATCTTCTTTGGATCTGAGAATTGTAGTATAGTTATCCTGTACTGTATGGCTAATATTAGCTATAAGTGAGTACATACTATGTGTGTCTTTCTCGTTCTGAGTTACCTTACTCAGGATGATATTTTCTAGTTCTATTCATTTACCTGCAAATTTTATGATCTCCTTGTTTTTAATAGCTGAGTAATAGTTGTGTAAATGTACCAGTTTCTTCATCATTCTTCAGTTGAAGGACATCTAGGTTGTTTCCAGTTTCTGATATTATGAATAAAGCTGCAATGAACATAGTTGAGCAAGTGTCCTTATCATGTGGCAGACCATCTTTTGGGTATATGCCCAAGAGTGGTATGGCTGGGTCTTGAGGTAGAGCTATTCCCAGTTTTCTGAGAAAGTGCCAGAATGATTTCCAAAGTGGTTGTACAAGTTTGCACTCCCACTAACAATGGAGAGTGTTCCTTTTCCTCCACATCTTCACCAGCATGTGCTGTCACTAGAGGTTTTTTTGGTAAAACATTTTTTATTTTTATTTTTTTCAGTGTTTTTTTTAATCTATTTATTATGTATACAGTATTCTGCCTGCATGTGTGCCTGCAGGGCAGAAGAGGGCACTCGATCTTGTTATAGATGGTTGTAAGCTACCATGTGGTTGCTGGGAATTGAAATCAGGACCTTTAGAAGAACAGCCATTGCTCTTAACCTCCGAGCCATCTCTCCAGCCCCAAACATATTTTATTAATTATAATTTATTTACTTTGTATCCCAGCTGTAGCCTCCTCCGTCATCCCTTCCTAATCCCACCTCCCCTTCTCCCCCTATACCCCTCCCCTAGTCCACTGATAGGGGAGGTCCTCCTCCCTTCCATCTGACCCTAGCCTATCAGGTCTCAGACATTCTAATGGATATAAGATGGAATCTCAGAGTTGTTTTGATTTGCATTTCTCTGAGGACTAAGGACATTGAGAGGGGAGTGATCTCAGAGGAATGAGGATGGAGATCAGACCTGGGGAGAGCTGGATGGGAAGACAGAGGGCTTGCAGAGAGAAGAGAAGCCCTGTATGCCACACACACCAACCCTATGCACACCACACGCAGCAAACATACATACACGTACACATATGCCACTATTCTCTTTGGGTCACGGAGAGAGGGAGTGAATCAGTCAGTGAATGAGTCATTTCTCTTGGGAATTTTTGGATGGGCCTTAGTTCCTCTTCTCTGAAATTTTCCCTGTTGCATTTGTGAAATGTTCAACCTCTTAAGAAATATCCTGTTTGCTGTCCCAAGGTCTCCCTGGGATGTTTTAAATTGTGCGGGCCTTTTGTGGCATGTATTAATTGTGCACCTTATAACCTCCATGTAACATGCTCTGTTACTTGGCTCTAGTCCTGTTCATTTTGGTCTTGTTATGCATCTAAATGTGTAGGTTAACACCTTTATCATGGTTTTGGAGGTGTGAAAGTAGGAATTCTTACTGAGCCAAGAGTGGTGGCACACGTCTTTAATCCCAGCACTCAGGGAGGCAGAGGCAGGCGGTCTCTGTGAATTTAAGGCCAGCCTGGTCTACAAAGCAAATCCAAGAGAGCTAAGGCCACACAGAGTAACCCTATCTTGAAAAACACAAAAGCCAAACAAACTTAAAAGAAATTCTTACTTATCTGCTGAGTGTATGGATACAGAGCTTGTAGGAAGGAGCTCTATATCCATACCACTGAGTGCTAATATAGAGGTCCTCAGCCTCTTGGTCACTCTTCAGGGGCTCCTTTGTGGATGTACATATTATACATATTTGTGCATGTACATATTATAGAACAAATATATAAGTAAGTATATATACAAACATTTGTTTCTAAAGCCCTTTAAAAATCATAAATGCTGGGCTGGAGAACGGTTAGTTCCATTCCCGGCACCATCAATAATGAGGTCTTGTGCCCTCTTCTGGCTTTCAGGCACACATGCAGGCAAAATACTGTATAAATAAATAAATCTTTAAAAAAAAATCATAAACGCTAAAATCTAAATAAAAGGATGAATGCCACTCAGCCTGGAGCCCTTTACTGCTGCCTTCCCAGTAAAGATAATACCTCAGGCAGAGTTAAAATACACATAGTATTGTTCAGGTATTGCAGAGGAGTAGAGCACCCTTATTTTCTGTGATTAAGCTAAATCAAACAAAGTCCCCTGTCCACTGAAAGAAAAGTCAGACAGGAATTCAGAAATAAAGGAGGGGCTGAGTAGGCCTTAAATTCATTAACTCTATCTCTCTTTTTTCTGGTTCCCAGTGACTTTGGGTTAACTCAGTCTTTCTGGGGTAAAACCTTCTACTTTCAAGATTGCTACTATTCTCTTGCTCTTTCTTCTGATGGTGTCTGGCCATTAGAGTAGGGTTTGTATAGCACCAGTGTCTGTCGAAATGGGTCCTTATGCTCTGCTGGGCTTCCCTGGCCCAGCTGGTATTGTCCAGTCTCTTCTCTGTCAGCCATTGTGGGTAGGCTGGCTTTACCTGACCACTGACCACCATCCGCATCAAGCTGTCTAGTCCGGAAGTCCACCTGTATACAAAACTATTCATCCCAATTCTAGACCTAGCTTAGTAATACAGATCCATCCTCAGCCCACTCCTACTCCTGAAGCACAGGAGAGATTCTAACTTCTGGAATGCTCTGCTCACGTATAGGCAGCTCACCAAAGAGTTGCTCCTGGCCTCCCCTCTGCCACTCAAAATGTAGATGCCCTGCTGGACTTTGTGTCGAGTGCTGAAATCTCCTTCTAGATGCCCCCACCCTTTCATGCTGAGCCCTGTAAAATAGGGTGTTAGCCCAGGTGGCTGGCTGGACCCATTTGCGTGTTTATCTTGCTGTGCTCTCTTTTCATTCCAATCACCTTCTCTTCAGTTGTTCCTCGCTAGAAGGGATGGGTTGCTGCTACCACCAATGCCTCTTCCTCCTTTCCAAGCCCACCTTTCTCTACTATGAGCATGTATGTGTGTGCTTGTGGGAAGTGCTGTATGCACGTGCAGGTGCCCGTACCAAGGCCAGAAGAGAATATTGGATGTCCTGCTCTTTCACTCTCCGCCTAATTCCCTTCGGGTCTCTCATCATGAGACCGTGAGCTAGGCTGATGGCCAGCAGGGCCCAGCAATCCTCCTTTCCCCACAGTGCTGGCTTGCAGGCACACTGGTGGGCCTATCCACCTTCTTACGTAGCTGCTGGGCAACTGAAGCAGGTTCTCGTTATACAGAAAGTCCTCCTGCTCACTGAGCCATCTCCACAACCAGCCTTCTCTATCTCTTGTTAAGTAGGGACTTCCTTTTTAGGAAGCATTAAAGCTTTGGTTAAAATGTGATCATAACTTGAGTTGATTTCCTCTCTGAAATATACCTTCTCTTAGAGACTATTATCTTGTCAAACATTCAAAAGACGTTAGTCAGTTGAACATCGTCCTTAGTATAAAACTTCCCTCAGCTCTTGTATTTGTATACGTGTTAAAAATCCATGCCACCTGGTGTAGCTGATAAACCCACTCCTCAGGATAATATCTGTAGATGCAAAAATCCCTACCCAAAACAATACTGTACAAGATTACAAAGGAATCCATATATGCTAAAAATCAAATTTTCAAAAAAGAAAATATGGCACTTATTCTAAATAGTAAGAACTAATGGTTAATTTATGCCATTAATCAAATCTAATCTCTACTTTAACCTAGAAATTGTGACATTGGTATTTTATATTTCATGCTATCTACAACTGAAGTAAAATGTAAAAATTCAAAGTCAAAGGCAATGATTCTGTTTCCACAGTTTGTTGACTATTTTCATGATGAAATCAAATTCTAAAAATTAATATCCAATGTCATCACCCTAGATGCTGTGGGACCTGGGAGAATGGAGGCACTAAGTGAGCTAACTAAAGTCTCATGTAAGAGCTAACTTTATTTGGAGTGTCAGACAATTTATACTCTGAAGGTTAAGAAGGGCCCCATGACTAAAGCATACAATCACAAGGACAAGCCACACATGGCAAAAACATGTTTTTCCATAGAGGCATGTAAACAAGTAGCAAGTTGTAATGAATAGTCTAAAGTAAGCTCTCTCCTAAATGCCATACTTGGGAGAAGCACAAAAAAAAAAAAAAAAAAAAAAAAAAAACACATTCCAAGAACAATTCCATGCTTTGAAGAAAGGAAGGTTACAAGACTTCCTTCCTTCCTTCCTTCCTTCCTTCCTTCCTTCCTTCCTTCCTTCCTTCTCTCTCTCTCTCTCTTTTCTTTTTAAGACAGGGTTTCTCTGTGAAGCCTTGGCTGTCCTGAACTCACTTTTATTGACCAGGCTGGCCTCAAACTCAGAGATCTGACTGCCTCTGCCTCCCAGAGTTCTTGGTTTACAGGCAGCCTGTGCCACTGCACCCAGCTAAGACTTGTTTTCTTGAAATTTTCTCACAGCACTCAGAATTCTCCTTATACAGCTGCATTCTTGGATCATATTCTGACAACATCATTCATTGTCACTACTTTTATGAATATGTAAATTCTACCACTTAGGGACGTCTTTTGCCACTAGACTTTTGTTCTGGATGACAAAACAGTATGTGTTTTCTTGTTCAGTAGGGAACTACCAACACCATCAGCTGCAGACGTGCAGACATCACACACAAAGGTGTAGTGTAAATCAGCATTTTTGAATTTTTCTTACGTCCATAAATCGTAACCCAGTTTTTCCAAGTCGCTTGTTTGATGCCTCGCTTAGTAGTTTACCTGTATCTAATGTTTACTTTAAATTGCTTTTGCTACTAAGTGTTTGTTTTTATTAGGACTCTAAAATATATTATTATTTTAAAGTAGACATTTATCTCTTCAAAGGGAATAACTCAAGTAACAGGCTTATTCCTGAGTCTGATCAGGACGGTGATTCTCAACCTCTTCCATGGTGACCTCTTCCACAAGGGTTACTTCAGCTAGCCTGCATATCAGATATTTTCACTGCAATTCATAACAGCAGCAAAACCACAGTTATAAAGTAGCAATGAAATAATTTTATGGTTGGGGGTCACCACAACATGAGGAACTGTGTTAAAGGGTGGCAGCGTTAGGAAGGTTGGATTAGGAGAATCTCCCCTGTGCAGCAAATGCCGTTTGGACGACTCTGATTAAACTACCTAGTACTAGCAATGGCTCTCGTGTACTAAAGTGTTTCTGTGACTTCTCCCTAGTTCTGCCAGCTAAGCCAGAAAACATCTCCTGCATCTTATACTTTGACAAACGTATGACTTGCACTTGGAATCCAGAGGAAACCAATGGCACCAGCTACACTGTGAGGATGACATAGTAAGTGTGGGAACTGTGTGTGTGTGTGTGTGTGTGTGTGTGTGTGTGTGTGTGTGTGTGTGTGTGTGTGCGCGCCCTGAGCAGGAGGGGGGATGGTGGTGGAGGTGGGCTCTTTATTCACCCCTGCAGTCAAGTCACTGAGGAAGAGTGACATTTCTCAATGACAACTTGTGGGTGGCAGCTACACCCGTCAAGTGTCTGGGTGGCATCCCGGGCCCTTGCAGATATGCAGGCAGGACTGAAGCTCCTGGGGGAGGACTGTAGGCCATGGGGCTCTCTGCATTAGAGATGCCAGCGTGGCTGAGGATGGTCTCCAGGCAGGAGCACAGTGGGAGAGTCTTCATTTACCGTATCTGGTCAGATTCCTCTTCTCTCTGTACCCTGCTTTTCTTCATTGATCCAGACAGAATGACTATGGCCTAGAGCCTAAGAATCAGTCTTAGGTGATTCTTATGGGACTGTTGTCAGTTCAGTGGTTGCTAAATTTTTTTTCACTGCCTCAAACATCCCTTTTGATTACATTTCCACTAGAATAAAAAATTTATCACCTAAAAATTACAGTTCTAACCTTAAGCCAAATGTTTTAGCATGTACAAGTTTTTAATTTTTTTTAAAAGTTAATGAAACTGTTTCTTCATGTTGTTCCCATATAAAAGTATTCATGCCAGGCGCGATGGTGCCCACCTGTAATGCCAGCACTCAAAGGAGGCAGAGGCAGGCAGATCTCTGTGAGTTCAAGGTCAGCCTGGTTTACAGAAAGAGTCCAGGACAGCCAAGGCCACACATAGAAATCCTGTCTCCCAAAACCAAAGAAAAAAGTATTCGGTATTCAGGCTGGAAATCATTATGAGATGGAGTTTTGTCTTTTTCGAACAGAGAGCCAATTGTTACAAAGTTGTCATGTGTATGTGTGTTCACATGGGTGTGCACTGAAAAGGAAGTCTACTTTATGTTTACAATAGAAGAAAAGAACGAATCCTCCCCCTGGGGAAGAGAGAGAACTTGGGGATGGCCTCATGCAGGAAGTTTTTAAGTTGAGACTTCAAAAAGATCTGGACAAGAAGAGAGGGGATGCCACTCAAAGACGATGGCGTGAATACCCACAAACATTGATCACAGCACTAGCAGCTGTCACAGCCCACACTTCCTGTTCACTTGCCATTTATAGAGTACTATATGTGGGTTTACGTATTTCACCCTATACAGACCTGTGCCTGTGCACAGACCATGACACAATACTACCCCAGGGGCCATCTTTGCATAAAAACCCTCAAGGTCCCTTCTGATCCTCAGATTCCATGTCTAAGCTCTTTTTCTCCCTAGCACAACTTGCAAGCTGAGCCTCCTGCTCCGTTCTGCTCTGTGTCCACAACCTCAGGATCACATAAGCTGTGTCCCCCTGACACTGTCCACCTGACACTGCTCTAGAGAGGGTGGCACCTGGGAGCCTGGAGCGGATAAGTGAGGTGGACTAAGTCTCATGCAATAGCCACTTTTATTCAGAGCATCAGACAATTTACGCTCTAGGGTTTAAGAAAAGTCACATGAGTAAATTTCTCATGAGTTCAAGCTGAATGCAATGACAAGGACAAGCCACAAGTGGCAAAACTATGTTTTTTCATAGAGGCATACAAAGGACAATTTAGATAATTAATTGAATGAGAACAGCAAGCAATAATGAATGAGTAACCTGAAGTAAACCCACTCCTACCTGCTGCACTGAGCAGGAGCATGAAAACACTAACCAAGAACAATTCTGTGTTTTGAAGAAGCTGAGGTCACAAGGCTCTCGCCTCGTTTCCCCCGAGGGTCTCACAAGCACTCAGAACTCTCCTCACACGAATCCCTTCCTGGGTTGTATTCGGACACTCACACACCTGATTCCATGTGAGGATAACAGCTTGAGAAGGTCTATCAATCACTGATCATTATCTATTATCTCCTGTCTTAATTATTGCCCTGTTGCTGTGAGGAGACCCACGACCAAAGCAACTCTTATGAAAGAGAGCATTTAACTGGGAGCTTGCTTACAGCGTCAGGATTAGTCCAGTATCACCATGCTAGGAAGCAGATAGGCTTGTCCCTGGAGCAGCAGCTGAGGCCCTTACATCCTGATCCACATGAACAGTAAGCAGAGAAGGAGGGGGAGACAGGAAGGAGGGGGGAAAGCAGGGAGAGCGGTGTGGGAGAAAGAGAGATAAAGAGAGAGAGAGGACACACATACATTGGGCCTCAAAGCCCCCCTCTCCCACGACACACCTCCTCCATCAAGGCCACACCTCCTCATCTTTTCCATATGAACCTATGTGGGGCATTTTCATTCAAATCACCAGTCTATCTATCCTCTATCTGTCATCTGTTTGTCATCCCTCAAATCTATCTTTTATCTATTACCTATCTGTATGCATAGCTATCTTAATGAGTTATTAAAATAATATACACAAATGATAAAATAATTCAGTTCTAAACATACAAATTTTAAAATACATAATCAAAAGACAACTGTTTAAACATTTTTATCAGGAACTTTCCAAGCAGCTCTGACAAATCACATAAATAAATGTTTTTATAAAATGGTGATTATTCTGTACATCCCAAATTAGAAGACAGAGTATTTTAAATATTATTTATATTTATAATAATTTGTTTAGCAAATCCTCTGATGTTTTCAAAGAATTTTTTTTTCTGGAGACAAGATTTTTTTTGCATAGCCCTGGCTGTCCTGAAACTCACTCTGTGTAGCAGACTGGCTTCGAACTCACAGAGATCAGCCTGCCTCTGCCTCCTGAGTGCTGGATTTAAAGGCACTACCGATTGGCTTGCAAAAAATAAATTCTTAAGGCTCTAGCTTCAATATTCTGATCCTACTCTGGAATTTGAATGATATGTTGATTATTTCTTAAAGTAGGGATCCATTGTCATGTGGTCTACAGGGCTGATTACAACGTGGACATTGAGCAATGGGGCATGCACCGTGTCTCATGGTCTGTGGCGTCTCCAGGAGGTCTGTGCAGCTCACAGCATCTCAGGCAGGCAGGCAGCTGGTATCCTTGGCAAGCGCACCAAATCCAGATACAATTCCCGAGAGAAACCCGGAGCAAAACTGACAAATGCTGCTTAACCCACATAAGTGTGATTTTGTTTTTAGACTTCTGTACCGAATTCATTGAATTCCTTTTCCTTTCAAAGCTCCTTTGGAAAAAGAAATCACACTGATTATACCACGAAGTCTTCATATTCTTTCCCCCCCTCGGTAACATTACCCCCCGATAACTGCGATGTTGAAGTGGAAGCTCAAAATGGAGACGGTAAAGTCAAGTCTGATCTCACACACTGGGATTTAGAAGCCATAGGTAAGTGGCTGATGGTGTCTGTGCAGTGGCATGGAGTAACTCTCTCCCCCTTCCTTCCCCTCATTCAGGAATCTTTAGGTTCAAATGCAGACTCCGAGTCTAAGGGACTAATAGGTAAAAACCGTGGGCCTATAAAAGGGAGAGGATAGAAAGGCAAAAAAGAAGGGAGGAGAAGGAAGGAAGGAAAAAAAGAATGACAAGTAGAGGGATGTGGCTGACCACCGGTCTCTCTTGCAGAGTGTGACATAAATGGTTCTCAGAGGAATAAATGTCATCATTGCTCATGAAGGAGAAGAACAACTCTTACTTTAAAAAAAAAAGTGCCCGCCAATTGCGTTCTTTCAAACTTTTTTGAGAAGTCATTTTTTACCATAAAATTGAAAGGAACTATTTATTTAAATACAATTAATGTACTATAAATTCAAAACACTAAAGTAAGCAACTCAGTGGATTCACTACAGGCACAAGGCCGTGCAAATATCACCACTAATTCAGGAATAGGATTAAGTTCAATGTAGTCAAGACACGCCATATTTATCAACAGCAAGCCCCCAGTCATTTCTACTTTTTCCTCTAACATCCAGAAACTTCAAACCTGTTTTATTATTCCTATGGATTTACCTGTTAGGAACATTTCGTGTAAATAGAATAATATAATATGTGGCCTTTAAAAAAATCTGGCTTCTATAATATTTTCAAGGTCTGTCATGTATTAGGACTCTATTCCATTTTTGTGGTTGAATTGTGTACCTTGGGATGGATATATTGTATTATGTTTATCCATTTGTCAGTTAATATATTTTAGGTTTTTCTACTTTTTGATTAGTATGGGTACTGAATCTGTGAATATTTGTGTAGACTTTTGCTTGAAAATATGTTAAATTCTCTCAGATCTATACCTACTGTGGTCATGTGGTAGTTTCTTGAAGATTTACCAAACATTGTCAGAGTGGCTGTACCATTTACCCTTCTCACTGGCTGTTTATAAAGGTTCCAGGTTCCCTATAGCTTCTCTGATATATCTTGTCCCTCTTACCGTTGTTCTGGTGAGTGTGAAGTGAGATCTCATTGTGGTCCTAATTCACACTGGGGCATCTGCAATGACTAATGTTTCATTTATTGTCTTTTTTGTTGTTGTTTCGAGGCTGAGTTGCTCTGTGTAACCTTGGCTATCCTGGTATTCACTCTGTAGACCAGGCTGGCCTTGAACTCAGAGATCCGCCTGCCTCTGCTTCCCAAGTGCTGGGATTAAAGGTGTGCGCCACCACCACTTAGCTTTTACCATCTTTTAAAAGCATTTTATTAGCTATAATAATTACAGTTAGCAATGGCTTTCATAATGACTTTTCACACACATAAAAATATATTCTGATTATATTTACCCCCATTACTCTTTCTTGACCCCTTCCTGTTCCCACTGATTCCTCCACCTTCTGAGCTATATCGAGTTTTAAAGTTTTCTTTATATTTGGAGTAGATTTACAAATATTTTCTCTCTTTGTTCGAGTGATCTTTTAAATTTCTTGATGGTGTCTCTTTAGACAGCAAAATAAGCTTGAGGAAATCAATGCAACTGTTTCTCTTTTATCGCTCATACTTCAGGTATCGAATCTAAGAAAGAAACCATTCATTACCAACCTTAATTTATTGTTGTGTTTTCTTCTAAGGTTTATAAACTGCTACATTTTTATAGTTAGTTCATTCTAAGTAATTGTTTTGTTTGTTTGATTTTAGTGTTTTGGGACAGGCTGGCTTCACACTATAGAGCCAAGACTAAGTTTGAACCCCTGATTCTTATGACCTCCACGTCTCAAGTGCTAGGATTATAAGCATGTACTTCCATGCCTGGCTTATTGCGCTCACTTTGAAATTTTTTCTTTATTATTATTATTATTAATTATAATTTCTTCACTTTGTATCCCAGCTGTAGCCCCCTCCCTCATCTCCTCCCGGACCCACCCTCCCTCCTCCTTCTCCTCCTATGTCCCACCCCTAGGTCGCTGATAGGGGAGGTCCTCCTCCCCTAATGTCTGACCCTAGCCTATCAGGTTTCATCAGGACTGTCTGGATCCTCTTTTTGAGCTCACTTTTTAAAAGGTGGCTTTTTATTAATTCGAATTATGAGTGTGAGTATATGCACATGAGTTCAGGTGCTTGTAGAGGCCAGAGGTGGTGAGCACTCCTGGAACTGAGGCCAAAGCTGTGTGTGAGCTGATACCAGTGCTGGGAACTGAACTTGGCCCCTCTGCAGTGGCACTCCGCGCCCTTACCACCAAGCCGTGCCTCTAGGCTCCTGAGTTCGTTTTCTCATACGGCGTTAACTGTGTCCATCGGCTTTATGTTACTGTAACACTTATCTAGAGAACTTATAAGGAGAAAAGGTTTGTTTTCACTCACGGTTTAAGAGGTGTCAGTCTATGCCAACTGGCCCCATTGCATCAAAGCTGTTTAATTCACGGCTGGAGAATAAAATAGAAGAGAGAGGAAGGGGTCAGGGCTCTGCTGTCCCCTTCAAGGGTAAATGCCAAGTGGCCTCCAGACTTCCTCCTATGCCTCACCCCTTTAAAGTTCTACAGCCTCCCAGAAGCCACTGGTGAGGTCCAAACTTCTACTATAGGGACCTAAGGAGAAAAATGAGTGACATTTTTTTATTTGAAACTAAAATATTGTTTTGCTTTAGGACTTTTAAAGAAAATTGTATTTATTTGTGTAAGCCAAGCTCTAGCTCTGGGTCATCCAGAAGTCGGTTCAGTCTTCCTGCCTCAGTCCTCATGTTCCGGGTTTATAAAGGAAAGCTACCGTGCTTGACTAAAATACATAGTTTCAAGGAAAGAAATGGAGGGCCATGATGTCTGCAGTGTGCGAGGAAAATGAGCAGCGTTTGCTGGTGGCCCCTCTTCACCATAGCGGGCGAGCGAAGCAGGCCTGATAGACGGCTGTGCAGTGTCTTCACAAACCACTCAATTGTAGTTTATTCTATGAGCCACAGTTTGCTTACGATGGCATCGTCATCATTACTGAGTGTATTTGTATGTTTTGCCATCATGATGCCAGGCTTTGAGTAAATGACGGATTTGCAGTGAAATCATAAGAGCAATCTTCCTTTTGCTGGGCATGTTCTTTCCATTGGTACAAGGGCTTGGGAGAGTGGCATTCTCTTTTCACTGCCTTTCTAATGCATCTGTGAATAGGATTGTTTGTTTGTTTTGTTTTGTTTTTTTCAGTGAAAACCGAACCACCTATAATTTTAAGTGTGAATCCAATTTCCAATAAAATGTTCCAGATACAATGGAAACCTCGTGAAAACCTTCATTTGGATTACCTAAAGTGCATGATTCGGTTCAGGACTATCAACAGTACCCACTGGGTAAGTTTCATCATTATGCTGTGTCTACTAGTAGACCTAAAGAAGGGCCTTATTGGCAACTTTTGTTCATCTGGAATTGTATTTTTCACTTTTTACATGGAAAACAGAAAAAAATTAATAGTGACTATTTCATTTCCCCATTTTCCATTTGTATCTTTTAGCTTAGGAGCCCATTCTACCATATGCATTTTTGTATGCTGAGCATAGAGACAACCTGGAGAAATAGGAATTTGGTTTTGTGCTTATACCCTGGTTATACATTGCAGTGTTGGCCTTCAGATTCAGCCACTTTAAAACAAATTTTTAAATCTTTTAGGAAATATATAACACATTTTAAGTGATCAAAATATACATTGTGTCCAGTAAATTGTTATTAAGTCAGCATTCTTATAAAAACCCACCTGAAACGCTGTCTGTCAGAGCCTGCTCTTACCCATTCCCGATGGCTGCCGTCCATCAGCACAGTGATTGTCATCCTGTGGGGCATACCTTTTAGGGGGATCACATATTTACATGATTCACAGCAGTAGCAAAATTATAGTTATGAAGTAGCAAGTAGCAACAAAAATAATTTATGGCTGGGGTCACAGCATTAGGGGAACCGTTGCCTTAGAGTTAGCCACTTCTTCATGACAGTCATCTCTCTGCCTTTCGTGTTCGTTTGTTTCGTTTTGTCTTGCCTGAGACCCTGAAAGGCATCACTCAAAAAACAATTATCCAATAGAATAGAGAAGGAGAATACATGGAAGTTTTGTCTGCCCGCCTGCCTTTCCCTCCCACTTTCCTTTCCCTACTTCCTTCCTGTCACCTTTTTGTTCTGTTTTCTCGAGACAGGGTTTCTCTGTGTAGCCTTGGCTGTCCTGGACTGGTTTTGTGGACCACAGCCATCCACCTGCCTCCGCCTCCCAGAATGCTGGGATTACAGGTGTGCACCACTGCGCAGGCTCCTTTCAGTTGCTGAGAGAGGTTCTCATTATGTAGCCCAAACTGGAGTCACAATGTTCCTCTTGCCTTAGCCTCCTGAGTGCTGTGCTTATAGACCATTTTATACTTCTCTATGTTTTGTTCTGTTAAGATGCACTCATGGTGCATGATGGGGCAGTTTACACATTTCCATTGCGTACACACAAAGGCACTACAGCTTTAACTAGCTGTTCCAACTGTTCATGAAACGCACCCCTTTTCAAGGCTCATCAGCCATTTAGATCCCTTCTTCAGAGTTCTGACTTAAGCCTTTGCATTGTTTTCTCTTTGGGTTTTTGATTGACTTGTGGGAATTTTTCACGTATTACATTTAACATTTTTGTTTGTTTAATTTTCAAGGTAGGGTTTCACTGTGTAGCCTTGGCTGTCCTGGAACTCTCTCTGTAGACCAGGTCGGCCTCGAAATCACAGAAATCTGCCTGTCTCTGCCTCTCAGAGTGCTGGGATTACAGGTGTGCACCACCGTGCCAGAATTATTTAACATCTTTTACTTATATGTACATTTCCCTATCTTGGCTCTAGTTGATAATAAACTCCAATGGACAGAATTTTATACTGTCAGATTTTTATTAGCCTTTTCTTTTACGTTTAAAGTTCTTAAAGAACCTCAGAGTGGAGAAGATGTTCTTCCATGGCCTTCAACATAGGTGGAAATGATATCACCTTTCTATTTTGGTGATCCCCTCATGCTACCAAAATGGTCAATAATTAACAGTAAGCCAATAAAATCTCAAGCACAGATTTCCTCATAACTTGCTAGTAAAATGCATTTCACTATTTTTGATTTATTGCATCTTAACAAAAATTCAGGTGGTTTTTTTTAAATTACCATTGAATTTCTTCAATGTTGAATGTTCTTCAATGTTGAACATTCTTGAATGTTGGTCTCAGCCATCATTTCAGCCTATTTAGAGTCTTTATTCTGCTTCTCCAAACTCACCATTACCATCTTGCTTTCTGATGCTCAAGACCTTCAGATTTGAAAACTTCTGTAATTTCATCTGATCATTCATAACAGTGGTGACTAATTCAGAGCTTCCCGGCAAACCAGCAGACACTCAGGGACAGTGACTCTCCTTTTTCTATTTGTTGTTTGTTTTCCAGGCCTTTGTGATAATATCTAGTCAACATGACATTCAGCCTGCTTTTGATTTGTCTAGGTGTCTGTCATAGGATCTTTTCCCTTGCGCAAGCTCACATACACATAATGTCTATGATGTCCTAAGCACTGGAATTCTTTCAGAAAAGAAAGTTGGTTGTTATCTGTCTTGTGTTCAAAGAGATGATTACGTCTGTTCCTTCCAACTGCCTCTGTAAGCCAGTTCCAGGGCCCTTCCCTGGAGCCAGGCAGTGTGATGTTCATGAACTTTTAAGCCAAGCCGTTCACATCCCAGCAAGTTTATACCACATGTCTTAGCAAAAGCACACGTGAAGAATATCTGGGCTGAGCGACTGACTACCTATCCTGCTTCCTTCCACGGAGCCTTGAGTCAGTACAGCTTATGGGGTAAATTTCGTCAAGAAAAAGAAACTAGAACTTCTACTCTTCTGGATAATTATTAAGCTGTGTCTAACTCCAAGGGCACAAATATGAACTAGCTCCAACCCTTCCTATCCAACACTCATCCTCCTCCTTTCCTAACCCTGAAGTAAGATGGCTTCTTTCCTGCTCTTCTGGAGGATGTGAAGCAAAGTGAAAAGTACAGTCAATGCCTTCTCTCTCTCTCTCGTCTCAACTTTTAAACACAAGCAAGCCTCCAGTTCTTGGCCAGCTAAGCCCACGTTGCTCGTTCCAACCTCCTATCAGTGGACCCTCCTAATGATCTCAACCCTGTCCCCACTGGGTGTCACACATAACAATGGGGCCCAAGTTTTGTTCCCCCAAACACTAGCCTGTGGTCACTGAATCTACCTAGGTTTTTTGGAAGAGACTTTCAAGGGACCTGGCCTTTGGCAGCAAAACTACCACAATCTCTGCATTCTGTTTCTTGCTCCATTCCTATTTTACTAGTCCTAGTGCTAAAAAAAATATTCCTTTGTACCTCCCAAGTTCACTTGTTCCCTTCACCCAATGTTCTGGAGGCCCAGCCCAAGACCCATAATTTCATATTTGCTTTCATAGCTGCTACATGCATACAAGAAATATAGGACGGCCTTCTCCTGCAAAGCACCTTGCTGTGCGCATACTAACGAAGGGACAGCCTGCAGATACAATGTGCTAATTCAATATATGTTTTTCCCCCTTTGGTTTTTCTGAGATACAATTTTTCTCTATATCCTTGGCTGTCCTGGATCTCCCTTTGTAGACTACGCTGGACTAGAACTTACAAAGATCCACCTGCCTCCACCTCCCGAGCCATGGGGTTAAAGGCGTGTGTGGCTGCTGCCACCATCCCCAGCTGATATCCATTTTATAAACCAACAGCTGACCAGTTTTAGTGTTGAGACTGTGACATGGTTAGAAATGAATAGCTCAATTTTTAGTCTCTCCAGAGGGCCTAGATCCAGAGACTCTTGGAGCTTCAATAAAGCAGAACCCTCATTTTACCATGACAAATTGGCACTAAGAGAGGGGAATGGACTTGTTGACCTCTCATCTTCCCAAGAGAGTGTGAATTTATACATCTAGGCTGCCAAGATTTTTAGCAGCTCTAATGGTCATCCAAAGAGCCGCTAGAAATGGTAGACTCTCGGCTAAAGAGAAAGAGTCTAAAAGAAACCTGCCTTCTGCTCATCACAGACATTGAGGTTATCCAAGGTCACTTAACTATAACATACAGGTTAATCCTGGCGCCACTCGTGTCTTCGTTCCCCTCCCCAACTTCTGGGAGGCTAGATTTCTGGGTGTCAGAATCTCTTCAGGGTTTAAGCTAAAGCCTGGGTGGCCCCAGGTCATTGGGCTCTGTGCTGCACCTTCAAGCGCAGTGGACATGAGTCTCTGTCCCACAAGTTTCCAAATAGGGACTGGAGAGCATGGTGGTGACTTGGGGCATGATCAGCATTTACACAGGTATAAATTATCTCAGCAAGAAAACGCTGAGGCTGAAGCTGTCTCTATTTCTGCTTAGAGTTTATTTTGTCTTACAGTCAGGAGTCAACTTCGAGGGTTATGACCGGGTCTGCAACCTCACAGGGCTTCAGGCTTTCACAGAATATGTCATAGCTCTGCAATTCAGGACTAATAAGTCAAGATACTGGAGCAACTGGAGCAAAGAAGAAACTGCAACGACTATGGAGGAAGGTAAGCCACTTCCTGCTACTCCTCATCTGCTTCTTCTGGTGTGGGCTTCCTGGGTCTAGCCTTGGTAGGTTTTGGCACATGCCAAAACATTCATGGATTCTTGGGAAACCTGGTCCTAAAAATATCTACAGGTCTCCTCTCCGTAACTCTCAGAGAGTGAGCTGTGCATCTCAGATGGCTTAGTTACTGTAGCAGCATTGTGTTCCCAGAGATACAGAACCTTATCTCTCATACTCTCAGGAGATCCTTATACTGTTAGAAGAAATACTACCATATCCTCCAAAGGAATCCTATGATAAATGGAAGCTATGCATCTCAAACCTTCAAAATGGTACTAAGTACATGAAGGTAGAGATAACACAAGAAAGTAGGTCACATTTTTAATGACAACAAGGGAAAGAAAGAGTCAGGCTGCACATAGCCAACTCCTACACTGGTCTCTGTAGTTGTGGCCCAGATTAGTCCTCTCTGGTCCTGCTTGAGTTTCCATGAGACCAACTTGGAACTATCAATTTTGCCACATTCAGCCTATTGTTTAACTCGGAAACCCATCCTGTACCCTCTGAATGTGTGTTCTCCATTGGAGGTGTCTGACTTAGGCTGTAACCTCCACTTCACGGATGTAGCTTCACGAATCAGTTGAGCAGTTGGGCCACTGGGCACGTGGGTGCCCTGACCATCCAAGATTCAGCTCTCAAATGCCATGCTCTCGGAATGACTGGAGAGATCACAGAAAAGGCAAAAATCTCATGCTCAAGTGGTAAGACCAGCCTGACACACAGTGATGGCAATCTAAATGAAATAAAATGTTTGATTAAAACTGTATGCTTTTGGCATCTATTCTATAGATATCATCTCTAGCTGCTTAAGCAATACAAATATCGACAGGTATGAAACAGCACATGAAACGTACAGTAAGAAGTGGTCAAATGGTGCTGGAATAGTCAGTGATGTGACCGAGCTGAGCTTTACCTGTGAAAACACCAGAATGAGCTTCATATCCTTACGAAGATTATCAGATTACCAGATTCCTCAGCCACACCTTTCACCAGGCAGTTTGGGGATTAACTAATACCTGGAGTATGGTTGTAGCTCATCCAGTTCTCCCTGCCGTGGCTATCATTTTCCTTTCTTGGTGTTTTCATGGCTCAGTCTCAAGCCTAGCCTGCTTCTCAGTCCAGTATGTCCTCATGTCACTGTCCTCAACTTACTTTGCTGTCAGCATTATAATTTATTATTTCTCCTGATTACTAGTTCAGCTAGCTGCCATTTGCTGACTAATCCAGATCAACACTTAATATATCACTCCTAGAGAATTTTGGCTCTGATCAGAGCATTCATTTCCTCTGGTTTTATTTTTCTTCATTCTTTTTCAGGATCTGAGATGGATGGACAGACATATGACCTACGCCCCAGAAATCCCTGAGTTTTTGTTTTCCAATTCATAAACTACCTATTTCCGATTTCATAATGAAAATTAGCTATTGTCATTGTTGGTCATCAGTAGTACTACTAGTATGTGTCTGGTCGCAGATGAAAGAGTCATTGTAATAATGTACACAGGTATCAAATCTCAGAGGACATAAGATGGTGCATTTCCATCCAACTGTAGGTGACCAGTGGATTATCTTTTACTTCCCGCACCTCTTATATTATTATTAAGTTATCAGACCAAGAGCAGTTTTAGTTTGAAATATGGTTGAGTCCAGTCCTTCAACCACAGAATGAAGACCTTGTTGGTCATTGCAAGGCTGACTTCCTCCTCTCTGCAAGCATCTCCTTGCCAAGGGCAGGGTGCCCAGTGGACCAGTGCATAGGCATCTCCTGCTACCGCCCCTTCTTTCAGTCATGAGCTTCCTCTTGTTCTTTCAGTTCCACATGTCCTGGACCTGTGGAGAGTCCTGGGACCAGCAGACATGAACGGAGACAGGAATGTGCTATTGCTGTGGCAGGTGATCTCCCTTTGTCTTACTTAACCCTACCCCCTGGTTAAAAACCTCTGGTATTTTCCCCTCGGAACACTGTGATTCTTGATGTTCTACCTCCTAACTTTCCCTACCATAGGGCTCTGTGCTGCCTCAGAGCTCACAGTTGTGTGCAGGTCAGAAATTCCCCGTAGGTTACCTGTAGTGGCTCAAGTACACCATGCAGACCCGGTTGCTTTCTTTGACTGAATCCCTAATAGTTGAGGCAATTATAAAGTACAACTATAGGATGTTCTGTGGTTTTCCAGAGGAAGCTGTCCCTGGGTGCCATCCCCTACAATACAGTATAAAATTCTGCAGCCTCATTCTTACACCCCAAGAGCAGAACTGCCTGGGGTCAGGTCATTTGCTATTACCAACACATTTGGATATGTGTGTTCCTTTACATACTAGGATAGTATGGAGTACAAAAGCAAGAGAATGGTCACATGGTCCTTTCTAAGGTAAAAACATAGACCTAAGGGAAGAGAAGATGGTAGGTGATACAGGGAGAGAAGAAGGGAAAGGAAGAACAAAGAAGATGATGATGATGATGATGAAGAACAAGAACAAAAAGAACAAGAAGAAGAAAAAGAAGATGGAAGAGGGGAAGGGACAGAAAAGGAGAGTGAAGAGGTAAACAGAAAGGGAATGAAGGAAACAGGTCGAAGGAAACAAGTCAAAGAGGAAGACCCTGTTAAAACTCTTTAGTTTGCCTCCAGAGCTATCAGAATCTATTTGCTAAAATTCAGCAACTTAAGTCCTTTTGAGTGACATCACCATGGCTTGCTAAGTAACATTCCCAAATCAATTATTCCAGAGTTGAGATTGCCTTTGTCCATCTCCTTGTTACACCCTCGGTTCCAGAGGTGTGGGCATGGGAAAGCCCAGCCATAGCATTGAGAATATTAATCTCAGATGTGGTGAGATGTGGAAAGAGATGACCCTGTTGATGTGTTTTGGGAAGGAAAGTGAATAATAATGCAAACCCTTGTGTGGTTTTAGCTATACTATGGAGGAATCCACTAGGCCAGCCTGGGAAGTAAGTGGCCAGACTTCTTGGCCTGCCTCCTCTTACCTCTTGCTAGAAGACTGGTCTTCTCTGTGCCTCAGTAAAAGAGGGTTTTCTTCTTTTTTTTCTGAGACAAGGTTTAGTCAAGGTAGACAAGGTGTAGTCCTGGCTGTTCTGGAACTCACTCTGTAGACCAGGCTGCCTCAAACTCAGAGATCCGCCTGCCTTTGCCTCTCCAGTACTGGGATTAAAGGCTTGCACCACCACCACTCTGCTAGGCTTCTTAAGAATTCAAGTTACTTAGCAAAGTATCCACTAGAAGACTCTGAAGTCTGATAGTGGTAAAGGATGTGTCTTATTAAAACAGTCTTTAAAACCACCAACTTGTAATTTAAATAGTGAATTTGATAGGTTTAGTGACAGGGTGCTTACCTAGCACTGGTAAGGCCCTGGGCATGATTTTTAGCACTGCAAATGAACAGACCAGTAAAGCCCAGCATTTAAAAAAAATTTATGGACTACATGTCATCAAAGGATAAAGGGGGAGAGGTAAAGAGTCGTCTAGAGGGACAAGAGAACCTCTTGTCTAGGCATTAGAGGTTCTAGCTGCCCTCTTATTGCTGTGTAGTCTGTGAAAGGAAAATTCCCAGACCAGGAAGACACTGGGTCAAAGTGAGTTAAAGCGCTGTCTGACCACACATCCACTCATTTGTTCCATGTATGGTTGTAATCAGTAGTAAATATTAAAAAAAAAAAAAGGGAGTCCCCATAATTCCAAAGAAATACTTAGCTTGCTTACTCCTAGGCAAACCATCTGGTTGTTGGGTCTACGTTCAAGGCTAGAAATAAGAATTTGGGTCAGAGTTTCTACGGTTCCACTTTGGGCTTCTTGCTAAGGGGATGGCAGGGAAGCCCTGAGTATTTTTGTCCTTTTAGCTGGATTGTCTAACTGGACATCTTGCCCAGAACACAGCTATCTCTCTCTTTAGAGGGGAACTATGGGATAAAGACACAACTATAGGATAAAGAAACTAAGGGATAAAAGCACAGCTACCTATCAGCCTTTGATGACTTCTGAATTTGATTTTGGCTCAGAAGGGAATACCTTGACTCTTTAGCTAGAAGAAATCAGAGGTGGCTTGCTCATACCAGCTTGGCCCCATGAAACTGGACTTCTGTTAAGAGTTGATAACCAAGGTAGATAATCTCTTCTGGAACTTGAAGGGTTAACATCAACACACAACAAATGTTGTTCCTGCTGGAAAGATAACCACCTGCTTATAGCATCTGATGACTAACGTTGACATCTCTCCATTTATCACTGTCTCTGTGGCTTTCTCTTCTTGGCATTGGCAATAACTTTTATTTTCTTTGGATACAGAAAGCAAGAGGAGCCCCAGTCTTGGAGAGAACACTTGGCTACAACATACAGTACTTTCCAGAAAACAGCACTAACCTCACAGAGATAAACAACATCACAGGCCAGCAGTTTGAACTGCTTCTGACGGGCCAGACACACTGTGTGTCTGTGACATCTTTTAATTCTCTTGGGAAGTCCCAAGAGGCCACACTGAGGATCCCAGCTGTTGATGAGGACAGTAGGTACCTCTTCCTCGAGTGTCTAGTCGCATCTGGTTGAAGAAGGAGTGGTCTCTGTCTGCAGGGCAGTTGTTCCTCCTGAATCAGGTCAGCTAGAAGGGGGTGGGGGGGGACAGTGCTCTGTAGGTTGTTGTGGGGAAACAGAATCTCCTTAACAAGCCCTCCCACCCTGAAACAGTTCCTTTCGGAACAAAGCCTGTGCTAACAATGGAGACTGAGTCACACGGCACCGTCAGAGCCTAGAAGCTCTGTGTCCTGCTTTGGTTGGTTCTGCTCCAAACGGCTGAATACTGGGTTGAGCCATATAAAATAGTCATGGTTGAGACCAGCAAGCATCCTCAAAACTGTGTCCTCTCCTGAACTCTCTTCTTCCCAGATGGCACTATGTCCCAGCTGTGGCTTGGTGTCCAATGTCCTCTTTTCTCTTTTCCCCTTTGACAGCCCATCTAGGAAAACTGCTCTGTGTATATAGACTTGCCAATATGTTGCTTGTTAAATTTCTTTGAGAAAAGATCTCACTCTGAGGCTGGCCTCTAAGTTACAGACAGTTCTGCTTCAGCCTCCTGAGTGATGGCATTGCTGACATCAGCCACCAGGCCTGGCACCCATACTTTTGATGAAGTAGTTTTGGACATTTCACTGAAGCCAGGCAAAGCGGCAAAGCCTCATTTTCTATGTTTTGGAATAAGAAGCCTTCTTGGAATGTGTGTGAGTGCTGTGCCATGTGTGCATACGTGTGTGTGTGTGTGTGTGTGTGTGTGTGTCTGTCTGTCGTGTATGTATTGTATATATCATGTGTGACTGCTGTGCTGTGTGTGTGTGAATGTGTGTGCCACTGTGGAACCCAGAGTTTGATATCAGATGTCTTCCTCTGTTGCTGTCCACCTTATTCCTTAGGATGGGGTCTCTCAGTGAACACAGACCTCACTGACTGACTATATGCCTGGCAGGAAAGTGCCTTCCTGCCCTGCTCCCAGTGCTATGCTGGCAGGCATGTGCTGGCATGCCTGGAGTTTTACATGTGTGCTAGGGATTCAAACCCAGCCACTCAAGCTTGTGCAGCAAGCGCTTCATTGAGTGTTCAGCCGCCTCATTTTGGGGCTTCAGGTAAACTTGCAAATAGTAAGTGGGACTCTGCCATCTGCACAGAGCTTCTTATCTGCAGATCTTTGTCTCTCTCTATGTGTGTCTCCTTCTCTCTCTCTCTCTCTCTCTCTTTCTTTCTTCTTCCTTCCTCCTTCCCTCTCTCTCAACTTTTCTTCCTCAAGAAGATACATACCTCATGAGGGCAGCAAAACAAACAAAAACAAAAACATACATTTACATTTAGTTTTTGGTTTTTCAAGACAGGGTTTCTCTGTATAGCCGTCCTGGCTCATTTTGTAGACCAGGCTGGTTTTGAACTCAGAGTGATCTACCTGTCTCTGCCTCCCAAAGTACTGGGATTACAGGTGTGCACCACCACGCCCGTTTTTTTTTTTAAATTATTATTAATTCTTGATTCATACAATTCATACAATGACTTTTGAGCATGTTTATCTCTGTCTCCTAACTCCTCCTGGATCCACCCTCTCCCCATTCCCCTCCTTACCCACCCAAACTAGCTTTCTTCTTCTTCTGTCCTCTCCTCGTGAGCACAGTTTGTGTTACCCAAGTACTCTTGAAAGTGGACCCAGAGGGCAGGGTTTTGCTCATTTGTATGGCAGGTTTTGTTTGTTTCTTTAAAAAATATGATTTCTGACATGCAAAATAACCTAACAGCTAAGAGCTGTTCTCTCTAATTGATACCTCTGTTTGCTCAGCCTGTCCTAGTTCAGGCACTTGTACAGCCAGGTCTGGAGTTCCCTGCCTGTCTTCTCCCCCTTTCCTCTTTTTAAACATAGCTCATTTGTGCCTGCATTTTAGAATTCTGGGAGGCTCATAATTTTGTGGGTTTTGGGTCAGCATTTAGTAGTATTCTCCATTGTTCATAGTTCTTAATATCCTAGTTCCAATATCCAAAAGTCTAGTGATGTTTTCAACAAATGATATATGATTGGAATTTGTATTCTTTGTTACATAGAGGTGCTGCCAGAAGAAATTAATCTCACTTCCCACTATTGCCCTGTAATGTTAAGCAGTAGAGAGCAGAGGGTAGAAGCATGGTCCTTGTAGTCCAGCAGCCCTGGGTTCAAATCTTTGCTCTTCCACAAGGTACCATTACACTGGGCAAGCCATCTAACCTCTCTAAGATGCCTGTGAACTGGGACCCTTATACAATGCACCTGTCTCACAAAACTGTTGTGGATAGTAAATGAGATTCTCTGTGGAAATGTTCTGTCTACTGCTGATTATTGTCCTTTTTTGCTTGTTTTGGGACGAGGTCTGTCCTTGTAACTGGGCTGTCCTCAAACTCACTATGTAGCAGAGGATGACCTTGAGTTTCTGACCCCCATGTCTCTTTCCCAAGTCATACCACATGAAACCCACATCACACCCTTAATGCTGTGCGGAGGATTGAACCCAGAGCTTCATTTGTGCTAGGCAAGTGCTCTATCAATTGAGTCATACCTCTAGCCTCATTGTCCTTGTTCTCTTTGTGTGTCTCTCCGCCTCTGTTTGTGGTGTCTATCTTGTGTGTCTTTCTTCTCTTTGTCTTCCTCTTTCATGCTGAGGATTAAACACAGGACCCTGAGCTTTGGTATATAGTACCAAATACCACTGAGCTTCTGGGTTACAGCAGCCCACTATCATCATTCTTAATAAAGTTCTGATTAATTACATTTCTGTTAGATATGGATCGTCAACTTAAAATACTATAAAATATACGTTAACTAAAATTATGCTAAATTTACTTAGGGATTTTTAGATTTTTATATTGAAACTATTGCCTATAATGGTCCTAGATAAAGCATTAACCAAATATGGCCCAGCACATTGTTTTAATTTTTGCAAATGAAGTACTTTCATATGCTCTGTGGCTTCTTTGCACAACAGTCAGATGATGAGTAATTATGAAAAAGACCGTGTGGCCTACAAACACTAAGATGCTTACTGTCCGGCTCTTTATAGAGGAAGTTTGCAGAGCATTATCCTAGAAAAGCACAGGTCATGCTTTTTCAATATCAGCGATCACAGATAAAGGCAGATGTTTGAGGCAGTACACACGTGTCAAAGGCATTATCCATGCATGTTGATGGAGACACAGAAAGAGATGATATGCATTACATCTCTGGCTATAATTTCAGTGTTTATCATAATTTACCACAGAAAAGGGAGACTCTACAGACTTTTGCTTAATAAAATCAGCTGGGAAAGTGTTAAGTAGTAATAAGTATATGATGCTTAACTATATATGGAGTTAATATGACCATCACATATTATGCATTAGGCTATGTCAGACATGGTAACAAGATGACATAGGTTATCTCAGCTTTGAAATGATTCTGGTGGATCTATCTTCTATATAATGAAACATTCCAGGAAAGTTTTGTGATTTGTGCAAGATTTTCCCAGTGCAGTTCTAGCCTGGTTCTGCATGAACTAATCTGGAGTAATATATTTATTTTAGAATTAGTGTTCATAACGAGACTTGGAATTCTGGTCACAGATGCTGTATGAGCCAAGATGGTGTTTGGCCTCTGTGAGATCCATGTCCCCATCCATGAAGTAAAGGATTGGCAAAGATAACCCTTCAGGGTCCCTCTAATTTACTTCTTGGATTTCATGTGTCTTGGGTTACAAGCAGGAGTGGTCTGGAACAGGATGTGGAAAAGCAAAGGCCCTTGTGTGGTGAGTTGTCCTGAGGGGCAGAGAGAGCTGCATCAGGGAGAGAGTTGGTCATGAGTCTGAACTGGCAAAGGAGAAGTGGCCCTGAGAATGGAATTTGCTAGATCTAGCGTGGCTGTCTTCACATCTGTCACAAGATATCATTGATGCTCAGTTAAACCTCTTCCCACTTTCAGGGCTGATCTCATTTTCCTCTTACTCTTGAGAATCTTTTATATCAGGATCAAGTGCTCATGATGTTCTTGATGAAGTACACCGATTAGTCTACTCAGTAGGATGAAACTTTTTAGAAACTTTTCGTGCTCCTTACTGAGGCCAGACTTTCCTTCCTGCCTGGCTGACTCAGTTTCTGGACTCCTCTCCAACCTCCCTATGATCTTCTTCCCAGCCCCCATCGCACACCTGACACTTTAGGCCTGGCTCTCTGATCTCTCTGAGCTCTCCAGGATTGGTGAGCAGGAGGAGTGTGAGGTCTGAAAGCTGTGCTCACTCATCTTTAGGGCAGGAGTCCTTGCCCAGTCACCTGTTAGGAAAATGTCTCCAGGAGACCAGAAGAGAAAGTGGGCGACATAGGTCAGAGGCTAATTAAGCCAAGGTACTATCTTATTGTCCTAAGGCTGCTGTAGTGGACAACCACAAACTGGGTGGCTAAGAACAACAGGAACACACTGTCCTACATGGTTCTGGAGGTTAAAGGTATAAGAAAGCAAGCTGTGGACTGGACCATGCTTCCCACAGAGGCTCTAGAAGAGGACCATCTTTAACCTTTCCATGCTTCTGTGGCCCTAGGCCCTGGCTTGAGGCAGCTCTGGTATCTTTGATTTCTTCCTTTTTTCTTTCTTTTCTTTGCTTCCTTCCTTCTCTTTTTTTCTTTCTTTCTGTTTCTTTCGTATGTGTCCCTGTGCATGTTAATTTGTACATGTGTGGAGGCCAGAGGCAGACTTCAGTTGTCTTGTGTGTGTGTGTGTGTGTGTGCGCGCGCGCGCGCATGTGTGTGCACTTTGAGATGATCTCTCTATGTCACCCTGGTTGTATTGGAACTTGTGTAGACCAAACTGGCCTCAGTGATGATTCTCCTCCTCCAGTTTCCCAAATGCTGGGGTTAAAGACATGCACTACCACACCCTTCCAGATTTATTCTTATTATTTTTAATTATGTGTATATGCAGGTGCCTGTGTGGCACTCACATGCGTGTACATGGGAGCAAGAGAAATTGGTTCCCTTTGGAGCTGAAGTTACAGGCACTTGTGTCTAATGTGGGTGCTGGGAACCCAACTCCACTCTTTACTGCTGAGACGGCTCAGTAAAGAGACGGGGTCAATCCCTGATTTTCAGTTACCAGTTTGGGTAGACCAGCTAGCAGAGGAACTCTGGGGGTCCTCCTGTCTAGGCCTCCCCCATCCACTGAACTCAGCTGTGTGGGTGTTAGGGACCGAACTAAGTTCCTCATGCTTATAAAGAAGTACATTAAGCACTTTACTGACTGGGCTGATTTCCCAGTCTTACCCTCCCCCGACTTCCCTTTTATATAAGGACATGAGTTACGCCGAATGCAGAGCCCACCGTCCACCACACTATGGTGGTCCCATTTCCACAGAAAGTCATTTTCTGTGGCACAGGGGATATCATTTTGGAGGATATTCACCCCATAACAGTGATAAGGACAGGAAGGCAGGGGAGAAGAAGCAGGAGCCCAGCAGAAGAGGTGGCAATGATGTCCAAGGTCCATGCTCCTCACCCTGGCTCTGCCTCTGCCTCAGCTTCATGTTCTTCAAGCCTTAGTTTTCTCAGAGTTACCTTTCAGGTTGACACATTACCTGGCTTAGCTTCCGGGAGTAACAATTGAAATCTCAAATACAGAGCCAGTTTGAGAAAGGAACCCTGAGCTGTAACTTTTAGGGATTAAAATGGGTTTCTACTCCTACTTGGAGAGTTTGGCTTGCAGAGAATGCATAGGACGTTAAGTCCTTTCAGGTACTAGCTTGCTAGAGAAAGCTGTTTCTGGAAACTCATTAGTTTGGAGAAGGTTAAAGCAGATTAAGAAAGTATTTAATCAGCTGGGCATGGTGGAATACACCTGTGATCCCAGTTCTGGGGGGGGGGGCGGTTGAGGCAGGCTGATCTCTGTGAGTTCGAGGCCAGTGAGTCCAGGACAGCCAAGTCTTCACAGAGAAACCCTGTCTTGAAAAACCAAAAAATGTAATCATCAGAGGTATTTAATAAGAGAAAAGAGAGGAAATGAAAGTTATGAAGGCTACGATGGAGACCTTGAACTTTGACATCTTGTAATTTGGCAATGCCTGGATGCCAGTGAGGCTGGTGCACTTGGGCTGAGTGGGGCAGCTGTGAATTAGTCCTTTCCCCTCTCTTCAGCCTTCCAGTGCATCCGGGCCATGCAGGCCCACCTTGCTGAGCCCCTGCTGGTGGTCGAGTGGCAGACCTCCAATCCCGAGGTGGACACGTGGATGGTGGAGTGGTTTCCAGAAGAAGCAGAGTCAAAGTTCCCTGCTCTTTCCTGGGAATCCGTGTCTCAGGTCACCAACTGGACCATCGAGCAAGGTAGCTGGCACAGAGCCTGCAGGCTCCCTTCGTTTGGGATTTGGTTTCCTTTAAATCAGCTTTCAAGGCTATGAGGACAACACTGGAGAAGGTTAGCAATCGTCACAGTTCTCAGCATTTCCTACATGAGGCTGGCACAGAAAGCCTGCCCCAGGTGGGAAGTAAACATAATCTTCTCCACCCATGTTGATGGAGGCACAGGAAATAATAATGCTCACCAGCTGGCCTGCCAGTGTGAATCATACTGTAACAGAGAAAAGCAAGGTTTTTAAAAATAATATTCTGAGTCTGATAATTTCATCTGAACATACAAGGTAGTTTGCCTCAATCTACCCTAACTCCTCCCAGATTTATTTCCCATTTTCCCCCACCTCTCCCTACTTTCTATCCCTCCCTCTTTTCTTTTAATTTTTTTTATAACTCACTGAGTCTAATCAGTGCTGCCCATATAGGCAGGGGTGTAGAGCTGTCCCTAAGAAGTGGGGACACACCCTTGAAGAAAACAGACTCTCCTTTCCCTATCATCCACCAACTGTCTATAGTGGCCCCTTGGCTAGAGATGGGTCTCATGAAGGCCTCCCCACTCCGTGCTGGAATGTGTGATCTCGTGCAAGCAACCCAGGCTGCTGTGAATTCGTGAATGCAGTGGTCCCGTCATGTCCAAAAGAAATAATCTTGATTAGCACCTACCTGAGGAGAGCCAGGACAATCGGGGTAACAGCAGAGTTTGGTTCCCGTTTGTACTACCTCAGAAACTCCCTTCTGTTCCAGCGGCCTAAGAGCTAGGCCCCTTCCTTAGCGGCCGGCTTTGTTTTAAGTTAAGCCCATTTCCCATGTGAGATATAAGTTCAGCTTTTCCTTTTAAGTCTCACCACTCCAGCTCTTTCTAAATACTACTGACATCACTCGCCAGGCATGACGGTATGTACCTATAGTCCCAGCCCTCCAGAAGACACTGAGGCAATCGGAGGATCTTGAGTTTAAGGCTAGCCTGGGCTATATCATGAGACTGTCTCCCAAAACAAAACAAAGCAAAAAGAAACACAAGCCTTATGAAGGGATTCAAGAGCGAGAATTCAAGGTATTTGAGTATATGCTGTTGTCATAAGGGCTAAATTTTATCCAGCATGTCCCCAAATCATATGATAAAATCAGTGATTAAGGAAGGACCGGCTCCCCCCTCCACCCCCATTCATGATGGAGCTGTAAGCTTATTAGAAATGTCCTCAGCTTAGTTTTGGAAGTTAGAACATTTCACAACAAGAGTAGACATTAGAGACCATCTCACCTAGAAAACAAAATGTCTTCTGTGAGTCTTAGGTTACAACTCAGTCCTTCATTTTTTTTCCAACTCTGCCATTATGTATACTTATGCCATTCTCTCTCTCTCTCTCTCTCTCTTCAAGATAAATTGAAACCTTTCGTATGCTATAATATATCAGTGTATCCAGTGTTGGGACACAAAGTGGGAAAGCCATATTCAATCCAAGCTTATGCCAAGGAAAAAGGTAGGTGTGGACCAGCCTTGGGGGAGGGAAACAGGCTTTTACAAATTCAGATGCAGGGTTGTCTTATGACCCATTTCTACCTGACTTTAATCTTCATCTTCAACTGTGTGTGTCTGACACACTTGGGCCCAGGGTATAGAATGACTAAACTTCAAAGGTGGGTAGATATAATGAGTTCAAAAAGCCCAGTCACTTCCCACTTTACAAATGGGAAATTGAGCTTCACAGAGGGGAAGCCTAATGTCACAAGGAAATATCAGCTGGGGCTGTAGCCGAAGTTAGCATTAATTAGCATCAATTCAGGAAGCCTGCCAAGCTCATGGTACACATGTTGAAAATGGTTCTGTGAGTGCACACATGTGCACGTGGGCTTGTTGTTCATGTGTGCTTTGGTGCACATGTATGGAGGCTAGAAGTCAGCCTTGCTTATCACTCCTCAGAAGCACCCACCTCTTTCTGTTTTGACATGGTCTCCCTGGGACCGGGGCTTGCCCGTTAGCCTCGGCTGACTGGCCAGCAAACCTGAGATCTGCCTGACTCCACCTCTTCAGCTCTGATCTTGCAAGCATAGACTGCCACGGCCAGCTTTGTACCTGGACCCCAAGCTTGCACACTGGCTGGGCTCTCTCGCAGTCTCCAGCTGGCTTATGAGCAAGGACTTTACCAGTCCATTACTCAGACTTTGTTATCTTTTGGTCTTCCACTGATTCTAGCTACACTTTACAGACGGGAATGAAAGCTGGGTGCTAATTGGAGTGGGGGACCTATAAGAAAGTACATTTCCTGGGGGCTTTGAAACCCCGTGTCATGTTGTGTAAGATGTCTGACTGCAAACAAGCAAACAACAACAAAACAATCTCTACAATCAAGTTTACTCATCAGTTTCCCCATTCAACCTCCTTATCCCACCCTCAGCATTATGGGTTTTGCCTGAACAGTGGGTTCATCTTTTAGGGTGTGATCCAGCCTTGTTTTGTTTGTTGGTTGGTTGGTTTTAATCTCCCTGTCCTCTGAAGCTCCCTCCAAAGGTCCTGAGACCAGGGTGGAGAATATCGGTCTGAAGACAGCGACAGTCATATGGAAAGAGATTCCCAAGAGTCTTAGATACGGATTTATCAACAATTACACCATATTTTACCAAGCTGAAGGTGGAAAAGAGTTCTGTAAGTATTCGCACGGCCAAGCTGAGCAAGCTCAATCCACCCCTCCCCCCAGATGATGTGAAGACACCTGACACAGGGGTGGCTCTCAGCCCTGTGACCTGTCCACTTGTCCAAATACTTAGCTTCTGTATACCTCTCTGAAAATAGAGTCAAGGGTGCCACCTCATGAGCTGAAAAAGATTAAAGGAGTAGTGAAGAGGATCGGGGAGGGGTTGATGCAATCTCTCCTGCTCAGTCACAGCATGGGCTGGCCTACTCCCATGAGCCCCTCAGACTTTTCCGACCATTATGCTGGTGGGATCTGCCCTGCTAAAGAGTGGGTTCACATACAGGGACAGACCTCGTGTGGTGGTACTTGCCTTAGTGCAAAAAAAAAAAAATTTTAATTAATTAATTAATTAATTAATTTAATTAATTAATTTAATAAATTAATTAATTAATTTAATTAATTAAGCATGAGTTCTACTCCCCATTGCCTGGGGTCCACAGTATCTCCTGATGTCCTAAGCTCTGGACTCTCCTCAGAGTCCCCTTTAGGCTAAATCTGATTTTGTTATGGTATAGTATACATAGGGTAACATTTGGCAGTAAACATTTGAAGGTGTATAGTTCAGTGGTCTTAAGAACACCCGCCATGTTGTATAATCATCACCTCTCCCTCTGTTCCCTCTCCATGTGGAAGCTTTGTATTCGTCTAATCAGTTGATCCCTGGCCCCTCAGCCTCTGGTAACTGTGTCTATTACCTATTCAGGTTGTTTCAAAGAAGTGATCAGGGCTGAGGGGGCAGCTTAGAGCCCAAGCACTTATCTGGCATGTACAAGGCTTTGAGTTCACTGTAAAATAAAATAGGTTAATCTTACACTGGTGTTTTCCCAAGGGGTACCATTTAGAAAACTTTCCTCCTATTCGCTAATGATATCACGCACACCTTTGTGTAGTTGTCGGCTAGTTGCATATCTTCTTCAGAGAAATGTCCTCTTAACTTCTTCACCCATTTGAACACCGGGGAGTCTTTGTGGTTTGGGGTTACAAGTTCTTTGTATTGTGAGTATAAGCTTCTTATCAGATATACGACTTGCAAATATTTTCCTCAATTTTGTAGGCAGTTATTTCAGTCTTGATACTGTCTTTTGATGAACAGAAGCTTTTTAACTTCAATGAAATTCAGTTTAATATTGTTTTATATAGTTGCTTGTGCTTTGGGTATCATGTTTAAAAACCCATTCAGAATTCAAAGTTGTGGTTTATTCATTTTGGCTTTTGAAGAATTTTACACTTTCAGCTCTTATGTTTAGGCCTTTGGTCCATTGTGGTGGACTTGTCTTAAGCAAAACTAGAGAATCTAGAATTACAGGTCAGGGCTCCCAAGCTCAATAACTAACGCACATTTTCAGTTTGGTTTGCTGTGCTATTTGGCTTCTTTTTTCCCTTCAGCCAAGACAGTCAACTCCAGTGTCCTGCAGTATGACCTGGAGTCTCTGACACGAAGAACCTCTTACACTGTTCGGGTCATGGCCAGCACCAGAGCTGGGGGCACCAAAGGGGCGACAATAAACTTTAAGACTTCATCAATCAGTGAGTACTAGCTTCGGGCTTCGTTTTTGGCGGTTACCTTGGGTTGGAAACGCCATTTGTCAAGTGCAGGGGAGGCCAGCGGAGGGCAGCAGAGGACAAAGCTTGGTGCTCTCTGGCTCCCTCCACCCCTCTCCCCAAGGTGAACAATCAGCAGCTGCAGAGGAGCTGGCAAACTGAGGGCTGACTTGGACAGAATGGCCTTTTTGCTCCTTCCTGAGAAGCAGCCTCAAAAATCAACATCAGGTTCAGCCTGAGCCATTTCAAAGGCTGTTGCCCCATCTCACGTTCACGAGTTGCTAAATGTCAAGAGTTGTGCAATAGAGCCTGGGAAGGAAAAATTGGTTGATCAAAGGTCACTGACATACAGGGAGAGACTTAATATTACCATCTGTGGTGGGGTTTTTATTTTGTTGTTGTAGCTTTGTATTGTTGGCAAAACAATGTGTGTGTTCAACTTATCAGCTTTTACACTGAAAACATGGAGAACAAGAAGAATTTGATAGCTGTAAGAAATAAGGTAAAATGTAATAGTTTCATATGGTGGTTCGTTAAGGAAGATATTTAATAGGAAATCAGAGGATATGTAATAGACAAAGGAAAAAGAAGGGAAAAGCTAGCCTGTTCTACATTGTGAGTTCAGGCTACAGCCAGGACTACACAGAAGGATCCTAGCTCTAAAAACTGAAAAAAAAAAAAAAAAATCTTCTTGATACATCTCAAAAGCCTCATTATTTATATTCCTAAAGAATAAAGTAGACTTATGACTCTGGAAGCCCTGAGCAGAACATATTCCTTTACACAGAAAACGTGTTCTGTTCTGTGGGCTAACAATGTCTTTTTGAATTCTTTTTGATACTACTTTAAAAAAAAATCATTTAAAAATCATGTTGTATTTTCAGAGCTCCGGGTACAAGTTGTGTCAGCTCGTGAAATTTTCTCTTGGGATCAGATTGAAAGCGAGATCCTGTGCTGGAGCCTAGAATGTCTCCCCTTGGTCTCTAGGTTAGAGTACAGACCGCTGTACATCCGGGACCCTCTACAGTCCATTCTCTTTCTTTAAAGACTATGATGATGATTGTGTGTGTGTCCGAGTAAACCTAAGCGCACCACATGTCTGCATAGGTCAGAGGTGTCTCCCATGGCTTGGAACTGGGACGACAGGCATGTGGGTGAGCGAGCAGCCGTGTGGGCGAGAGCAGGACCTGGTGGTCCTCTGCAAGTGCATCCAGCGCTCTCAACTCTCTGCCAGCAGTCTGTAACCCACTCACACACAGCAGCCACAGTTTAAAGCTCTAGATTCCCTGCTGAAAGGACACCAGTCTGTGCTTCATGATTTAAACAAAATACAAGCTGTCTGCCCCTTACCTCATTTCCTGTCGCTTTCTGACTCTGTGTCTCTGACTCACTCCCTGTCCAAAGCTTTCATATCTCTCTGGAATGCTTCTCTCCATTCAGGGCAGGCTCTTCTTTCTTGTAATCAGATCTAGCCAGGCATGGTTGTGCACTCCAGCCTCAGCACTCAGGAGGCAGAAGCAGGAATATCTAAAGTATGAGGCTATATGGTGAGTTCAGGCCAGTGTGGCCTACACAGTGAGACTCTATCTGGAAAATTAAGTAAACTATATATATAAATAAATATAAAATTAAGTTGCCTAACCTCCCTCCACTTTACCCTAGTTTTCTCCATTTGAATATTCTATGTTATCTGAAGTACTCTTACATTATTCTATTAGGATTCTCTAGAAGAACAGACCTGGCATGGTTTAAGTGACTGGAGGCTAGGCTTTCCAACAGTGCCATTCCTCGTGCCGCTGAAGCAGAGCCCCTGACAGCTGCTCAGTCTTAGAAGTCAGAATCTTGAGAATAAGTGTGGGGGTTAATGATGCAGTCCTTGTCCGAGCTGGAGGCCTGGAAGCTGTCTGGAGAGGTGCTAGAGTGAGTCCGTGTCCAAAGGCTGGCTATGGTCAGTGTTCATGCTCAGGAAAGAGGGTCTCCCATGTCAGTCTCTGGACACACCCTCACAGACACACAGAAGCACGGATTCACTGTTCTCTAGGCATCTCTCAGCCCAGGCAAATCAACAGTCAAAGATTAACTGTTTCACTGTGTGAGTTTTTCTACCCCAGTACTTACTCAATGTGAGGAAGGATCTGATATTTCTTATTTGTTTTTATTTCTTAGAGTGATGTCTGGCCAATAGTTATGCTCAGTAAGTACTGACTGAATGAATGAAGTTAGAAGATGTCCCTGACAAACACAACCTCTATCAGTATATAATGTGTAATATTTGAAGATGCCAATGAAACCCATTATTCTATATAAGTAATATATACTAAGACAAAAGAAAATATTTCAATGTCTATCATATTGTCTAGGGGAAAGACAGCTAGATGGGGAACCAAAATTTCAGTGGTTTTAATAGAAATAAATTGAAATTAAACTTAAAAATTAATGAGAAATGTTGTTGAAACTGAAAGAAAAAAGTGAATATTTGATTTTTGTCAAAGAGTCAGTGAACTTTACTGACAAGGGTATTTTGTTCTCTTTGTTACAAAGGTGTTTTTGAAATCGTCCTTCTAACATCTGTAGTCGGAGGAGGCCTGCTTCTACTTAGCATCAAAATGGTGACTTTTGGTCTCAAAAAGTCAAAGTGAGTTCATAATTGACAGTGAATGCCTTAAAAATCAGCTGCAGAAAGCAGCAGCATGGTGGCTCACAGTGTGAGAAGTCACTCCACCTGGAGGGGGTTTCTGTTCATTCATTCATTTGGCCCATACTTGTGGGAATGATTAAAAACCACACCCTCGGACTAAGGAAGGTTCTGACAAACAAGAAGGCTTATTTGGTCAGGTCTGTGCACCAAGTTTAGATTCTTCTGAGGCCAAGGAGTACCTCTTCCCCAGAGGCTCTGTCTACCAAGGTCTACCACCTGAGGCTGGAAAGGGCTGGAAAACTGAGCCCTGGAATCAGACTGTTAGCCAGCCGGGGGAGAGCACACATCTGTCCTCTGTTGTGGCACAGAGTTGGAGGGCTAGCTGCAGACACATTTGCCCTGCCTGCTCTTGCAGTGTGGGGAAAGAACTTTGTCTTCCTCATCTAGTATTTCTCCCTGGACTGAGCCTTATGCTGCCTCAGTGTTCCGCCTTGGTAGGGCGCCCTTCACTGGCCCTATGAGCCTTCTTTGCCCAACAGCTGGGACTCATTCTTCATTATTCTAATGTCAACCCTCAGTTACCAACAGTGTGCTGCAGCCAAGTCACAGCAGAGTTTTTTGTACATCATACTCTTAAGTAATCATCTTCAGTCTGGGCACGTGTCAGAAGCGGGTCCTGCCCTGACAGTTTCTGACTCAGAGTTCTGGGATAAAGACCAAGAATCTGTATTTTGATTAGTTGGTGATGCCGATGTTGAAGTTGGGAACTCATTTTGGGAACCTCTATGCAGAAGTGTGGGTAGTTAGTGCTCCTAAGAACACATTTGCCAAGAGTGACTGTAATTCAGTTTCCAACATCAGGGGAGAGATTCAGCAGTGATGAAGAAAGGAAGATAAGGGTGGAAAGCATGTGTCTCCAGTTGTCTCCATAGACAACTGCTTCACATTTCCTGTCAGTCAAGAGTGCAGAAGTTTACTCTTATTTCCTGTCAGTCAAGAGTGTAGAAGTTTACTCTTATTTACTCTTATTAAATAATGAACTGTGCAATTGCCTTCTGCCTTGGTATTTTCTATTGCTGTGAAAGATATCATGATCAAGGCAACTTATAAAGTTTTTATTTGAGGCTTACAGTTTCAGAGGGTTAGAGGCCATGATCGTTATGGTAAGGGAGCATGGCAGCAAGGAGGTTGGCTTGGCTCTGCAGCAGTAGCTGAGAGCTCCCATCTTGAGACACAGCCATGAGACAGAGAGAGACCTAGCTGGGAATGGGTGTGCTTTTGAAAAGTAAAGTCTTGCCCTCAGTGACACACTTTCTCCTACAAGGCCACACCTCCTAATTCTTCCCAAACCATTCCACCAACTGGTGGCTAAGACTCAAACATAGGAGTCTGTGTTTGTCATTTAAAGCAACCACACCCTTCTTGAGTAGGGAGGAACACAGTTGCCTTTAGTGAACCTTGCCCTTAGCTCAGCCACACACTACCCACAGATCATGTCCTAAACTCACCTCCTCTCCATCTTTTAGTAGCCGCTTTACTCGTCTGTGTTGTCCTGAAGTTCCCAACCCTGCTGAAAGTAGTTTAGCCACGTGGCTCAAAGATGATTTCAAGGTATGCATTGCTGGTTTTTTTTCCAGGATATCATACAAACTGGGTGGGAGAGGTGGACTGGGTGAATGGAAATGAGAGAGGCTTTTTCCCAGGGTTCACAGAGAAAGAACTGAAAGTTTGAAAGGCCCAGGGAATGGCTGAATGGGCAGATGGAAAGAGCCTTCCTCTTGTGACTTTAACCTTCTGCTCTGGACTGGAGGAAAGGCCCTCACCAGTGCCTGAGGTGTTCCCCACAAAGAACTGGTCCTGTAAGGATGCTGTGGAAGAAGGACTGTTTGAATGACTTGGCTTTCTGATGGGGAGCAAGAGGGCCTGACTACCAGCTCTGTGCCCATTTAAAAAGCAGCCAAGAGAAAATTAATCTAGGGGCTACTCAGAGACACAGGAACACTGAGGAAATGACAATCCAAAGGCAGCTTTGAATTGTATCTCTCCGATGGTAAGCGTTAATTAGCAGTAGGACTTCCTGGTGTGTTTTTCCAAGTCAAAATCCTCCTTTTAAGCATATTTTTTAAAACTTGGAAAATGTCTAAGTTCCCCCAAAGTGGAAATCAGCCCAGGCAAATGCAGCTCTTAAATCCTTACTATATTGAAAGCCCTTTCCCAGATGGGCCTTGATGCAAAAATTTAAAACATTAGTCTTCTTTTTTTTTTAACTTGGAATTTTTTTAAACACGGATATTTTTGTAATAATGAGCACTTTTTGCTCCGTCCTTTCTTCACATATGTTATATTGGCCTCTCTGCCCTCCTGTTTATTAAATTGCTGAGACATGCTTTGCAGAGTCAGCAGGCTCTCCCTCTCCAGCATGTACTGTTTAATTGCAAACTGTATGTCAGGCATTGGGCCAGGTCGGCAGGAGACAAAGATGACAGAGACCCTGCCCTGTTATGAGGCCACCTTCGATTTTCTGGTGGTGTCTTTTCTGGTGCCTTCTAAGAGTCCTCATCTCAGCCGGGTGCAGTATACATGCTTGTAATCCCAGCCTCTCTGAGGATGGCTGTGAGTTCAAGACCAGCCTGCTCTACTAAGTGAGTCGAGGACAGCCATGGCTACACAGAGAAAACCCTATCTTGAAAAACCAAAAAGGAAAAAAAAAAAGTTTCATCTAACCTTTTATAAATATGATGTGGAAAATAGCTTTGAACGCTCTAGAAGGATTGTGGGCCCTTGGGTGCCGTTCTGCCGGAAGTGGCTGGTCACTGTCTGGACCGAGGAGAGATGTGGGGGCTAAGTGAGGGGCAGGACTGCTGTGCCCCAAATCTAGCAATTTGGCTGCGTCATTTGTGGTTCTTACATGACCCCTTTTCTCTCCGTAGGGCAAGTCAAATCTGAAGGATTCCAAAACCACTGGGAATACGGAAGACAGGGCCCTAAAACCGAGTCTGGTCCCCGCCGACCTCATTGACAAGCTGGTAGTGAGCTTTGAGAATTTTCTGGAAGTAGTTTCCAGAGAGGAAGCTGGAAAGGGTCAGGAGAGCCTTTGGGGAGGAGAGGAGAATGAGTACGTGGCCTCCCCGTCTAGGCCTGCCAGTCCCCCGGGGAAGAATTTTCAGGAGCCCTCCCTTTTAACCGAGGCTGCTTCTGGAGACTCCCACAGCCGGCCTCTGGGAATGGTGGAGGAGACAGAGTCAGAATTCAGCAAGCGACTTCCGTCTTCCGGGCAGAGTCCGGGACAAGAGCCTCCCGGTGAGGAGCCAGCTCTGAATCCGTACCTGAAAAATTCAGTGACAACCAGGGAGTTTCTCGTGCATGAAAATTTCCCAGAGCACAACAAGGGAGAGCTCTAAGTGCTCCCGTGGAGCGAGGACATCGGAGACCGAATGGGGACACCGAGACTTCCAGATGCCTCCCTGCCCACCCCCGCCCCCATTCATTTTGCTGCCCAGAATTTGGTGACACAGATGACGACTTATGCCTGGAAGAACCAAGCGCTTTAGAAGGAAAAGTAAGTTTCTTTCTTCTGCACACGCTCACCGAGGCCCCTTGAACCGGTGGTCTCAAGAGAAGGACTCCGCTTCGGAGCTTAGAGGTGGACGTGCCTGATCTTATCCCCAGGGGCCAAGCTGTCCTGGCTGTTGCTGAAGCTGTGCTCCGGATTACTGGACAGTTGTTCGTTCCCTGAACACCTCCTCCCCTCCGCGCAGAGGCCAGGAAGTGGACGGGTTCCTAACGGTACACCAGGCTCCCCCCGTCCTTGGCACCATCTCAAGGGTCTCGAGCAGTGCCCTTCCTGGGACTCTTCATCACCAACTTACTTTATTTTATTTTATTTTATTTTTTCTTATCAATATTGGGGGTTGAACTCAGAGATGTGTTTATGCTAGGCAAGTGCTCCACCCATCCCATTCACCCCGAGTTTATCACACATTGACTGCTGGTAAGTCAAGAAACCTCCGCTACTGGCATGGACTGGCAGCTCTGCCTACTCCGTCCGCCGGTTCTCAGCTCTTGCTGCTCGTGTCTTGTGTTGTACCGGGCAGCAGAAGACACCGACCCTCACGCTGCCATGGAGCCCAGGAATGCTCACTGAGAAGACCCTGAAATGGCTTCTTCCAGCCACACTGAGCAGGGCCTGGGAGCAGGCAGCGCTTACTTAGCAGCTTCACTGCTGTACCAGGAGGGCCTCTGCACCTTTGCTGCAGCCAGGGACAGAGCTTGTGACAAGAGGGAGCCTTTGGCGGAAGTGCCAGTGAGAGAATTTATTTGCCTGGCCCTGAGGAACTGTGTGACTGCGTACAGTGGTCCGGGTCACTTGGGTGGAAGTCTTTGTAGGTGACTTGGTGTTCCCCTCCCTCCACCAGGAGTCCTGTCTAGTTAGAGGGTGTCATCTGCAGTCTCCATGACCCCTGCTACCAGGAAACTCAGTCACCCCCATATCCTCCCAGAAGCCTACCGTCTTAGGTCTCCAGCTTTTCTCAGAGATGCCCCCACCCACGGTTTCTCTTCTCCCTGTATACCCTTTGTCTTCCCTCCCATCTCCCCAAGTCTGATCTGAACCCTCATTTTTCTCTACACTCCCTCTCCGACCTTGTTCCCTCTCTTCAACCACTTCTGCTGTCTATTTCCTCTTCTGAGTGAGATTTAAGCCTCCTTTTTTGGGTCCTTCTTGTTACTTATCTTCTGTGAATTGTAGTATGGTTACCCTGTACTATATAACTAAAATATACTTACATATATACCATGTGTGTCTTCGTGGGTCTGGGTTACCAAACTCAGGATGATCTTTTCTAGTTCCATCCATTTGCCTGCAAATTTCATGATTTCCTTGTTTTTAATGGCTAAATAGAATTCCATTATGTATCCATTCTTCGGTTGAGGGACATCTAGATTGTTACCAGATTCTATTATGAATAAGGCTGCTATGAATACAGCTGAGCAAGTGTCCTTGTTTTATGGTAGAGCATCTTTTGGGTATATGCCCAGGAGTGGTATAGCTGGGTCTTGAGATAGATCTATTCCTGATTTTCTGAAAAGGTGGCAGATTGATTTCCAAAGTGATTGTATAAGTTTGCACTCCCACCAGCAATGGAAGAGTGTTCTCCTTTTTCCACATCCTCGCCGCCATGTGCTATCACTGGAGTTTTTGATCTTAGCCATTCTGATTGGTGTAAAATGGAATCTCAGAGTCATTTTGATTTGCATTTTCTTGATGACTAGGGATGTTAGACATTTCTTTCAGTGCTTCTCAACCATTTGAGATTTCTCTATCGAGAATTCTCAAATCCACTTTTAACTGGATTATTTGGTTTGTTGGTATTTAATTTCTTGAGTTCTACTACTAGGGAGCAATAGTAATAGAAACTACATGGTACTGGCATAGAAACAGAATGGTGGATCAATGGAACCAAGTTGAAGACCCAGAAATAAACCCACACACCTACAGACACTTAATTTTTGACAGAGGAGTCAAAACCATACAATGGAAAACCAAAAAAAAAAAAAAGACAGCATCTTCAACAAATGGTGCTGGTCTAACTGGATATCTACATGTACAAACACTGGCATAGATTCATATTTATCATCCTGCACAAAACTCAACTCCAGGTGGATCAAAGACATAGAAGTAGAAACACTGAATCTCTTAGAAGAGAAAGTGGGGAAGAGCCTTGAACTCATTGGTGCACGAGACAACTTCCTGTACAGAACACCAATGGCTGAGGCTCTAAGACCAAAAATTAATAAATAGGACCTCTTGAAACTGAAAAGCTTCTGTAATGTAAATGACACTGTCAAGAGAATGAAATAGCAGTCTTCAGACTGGCGGTCTACACCCGACAAAAGGCTAATATCCAAAATATAGAAAGAACTCGGCCACTTTTTTGGTTGCAAGCTTACTGTGGGCACAAGAAGGTGTGTAATTCCCTGAAGCCCCCCTCTCTCCACGGACCATTTAAATAGTCCCACTGTGTCTCAGAGGCTTACACCTCCCCCAACCCTGCTCTTTGTCCCTGATCTATACAGTGACTGTTCACAGATCAGGAAACCAAGGAGGGACACGGGGAAACAGAACTCTCACTCTGGAGATCACCCTCCTGTCTGTCTGCTCTCAGGCCTTGGAAGTGAGTTAACAAGCGGGCTATTTGATCCCAGGACTGGCCCAAGCTCCTTCCCTTCTTCCCACTGTGTGGCTCTGCAGTGCTCCTCTGAGCTTCTCTCCCTGGAACCTCTGCCTGGGGAGGCTCTGACCCAGCAGCCTTCTCTTCTGGTCTGAGGAGAGACAGTCAAAGATGCTCCTACACCTCCTGCTGGGGGACTCTCAGGTCCCATGGGAGCTTAGCAGCGGTGGTGGAACCTCAAAAGGGTCTTGAAAGAAAAGACATGTTGAGTCTTTGGCATGTAAAGTCCATGAAGGGGGGGAACAGGGAGAGAGAGAGAGAGAAAGGAGCCCCACATAGGGGACTCCCAGAGCTGAAGCTGCTGCCCTCTGCCTATGCTACATAGCTGGTGCCAGCAGTGTCCTGGGTTGCCTTTTGCACCAGCGGGGCCCCTCCCCCTCGTCCTCTGTTTCTTTTTAGCACTTTAGCCTTCCTGGTTAGCCTCTGGATCTTCTCCTCTCCAGGCTCTCTGAGGAGCTCATCTCTCTACCTCCCTGTTTCTTTCCCCCATCTCTCCCCTTCTCAGCCTTCTTGTGCCATGCTTCATGTTTACCTTTGCGGCCTTTGCTGGGTAGAGTTGTTGAAGGCCCTGTGCTACCCTAGGTGGGCTTCGGGTGGTCCCAGAGGAGGCCATGATGGCTTCTTGTCCTGGATCAATCATCATGGGTTCCCGCTGGGTTCCCGCCTCTGTGGGTAAAGAAGGCCGTCTGTGCTTCCCCTCTTTACTGTCAAAGAAAAGGAATGTTGAGAGGACTCAGGGAAGTTATTGGGTGGCACAGTCAGTAAGAAATGATGAAATTCATTAGAAAGAGCTTTCTAGGGCCCTGGGAGCCATGAAAACAGCTAGATTAATGCCATCAATGGTCTTTCATTTTCAATAATAGAAAAAAATTAGATAATGGTGGAGAACCCAGTCTGTTTTTTTAAACAACAAGAAAACGGAGATGAAAAAGCAATGCTTTCCTTGTGGCATCCCAGGAGGCAGTGCCAAGAGGAGCCCTGGACCCCACAAGGGGGTTGGTGGAACTGGAGGTGGGGGAGAAAGGAATTGCGGCGAGACTCCCTCTCAGGGGGCTTGCAGCATGGGCCCGTTCAAGGGCTCCAAACCAGCCCCTTGCCATTGAGCTCTCAGGCATAGCAGAAGGTTAGGTAAGCTGTAGCCCAGGGGCCTCAGGCCGCACCTCCCCTCAGACCAATCTTGGTGCTGTTTGTAGAGAGCTAAGAGCGAATGGTGGTATTGGCATTTTTAAATGGTTAAAACCAAAAATCAATGGAAGAATAATGATTTGTGATGTGAAAAAGTGTAGACAATTTCAGTACTTACAAATAAAGCTTAATGGGGGAAGGGGCTCACCATACCTCATTTACATATTATCTGTGGCCAGTTCACACCTGCCCATCCACTGAGCCTGGAGACACCCTGACTGTCACAGCTGGGAAGGACGCTTTTGGCATCAGGTGGGCAGCAGCCAGCAGGCTGAGCTCTACCCTACAATGCACAGAGCCTGTGGCATCTCCCATCTGGCCCTCTGCAGGGGGCTTGCAGGCACCAGTTCCTCTGTGAGGCTCAGACAGTATTGCTTTAACTCTGAATTAGCTGCTAAATCACAGAATAAAATAGAGATCCAGGGACTTGGAAGAGGCTTAGCAGGTAAGAGTGTCTGTGAACAAGTACAAGAACCTGAGTTCAACCCCCCAGCTCCCACATAAAAAGCTGGGCTAGCACGTGTGCCTGTAATCTCAGGGCTGTAGGGGCTGGAGACAGGAGGCATTCTAGACAGATGCATGGACGCATGCACACACTGAGGATATCTTTCTGGCTTTCTAGCGGAGTACCTGCCTTCTGTAGAAGGGCACACACTCAGGGTCCGCAGCCCTTATCTGTCTCCTGTCCCCTGACAAACCCTGTGGAGAGTTGGTTGCCATTTGTCACTTGTATTGGTTGTTCTCGACCAGGGTATGTTTCCCCTCCCACCTCCAATGTCAGTCAGCAAGGCCAATGCGGGGGGGGGGGGGGGGGGGGGGGCTTTGACTGTTACGGCGGGGAGGGGCGCTTTTGGTGTCGGGCTGTAAGTCCCTGCTTTAGTCAATAGGGCTGTGCTGAGCATCTTTTGAGTATAGAGAATGACGACGACAAACTTCTTTGTTCAAAATATTTTTCTTATGTCTTATCTGCTCAGGACTGTGTACAA